AGGTTTCTTCTCCATGGTCATAGACCTAGTCCTGGTCTTCACAAGGGGGCGAGAGCATCCGACATTTTGGAGAAGGGGGGTCGACCTCCACCTGTGTTTCTTCGGCGGTTGTAGGAACTATGCATCCGTCGCCCGACGTGGTCGTTGATTGGTCGTTCAACTGAACGTATCTGCAGAAACTGTGGCAATTACGTCCAGCCTTCCTGAAAGGCGCTCTTCATGCACGCATACCCAGGGATGTTATGGTGTGGTTGCTACAGTCACGAGATCTCACCGTCGTCATCATCGTCATCGTCAAAGTTTTCCCCGTCGGGTTGCCTGTCCACCCCTGTCCCCTCGCACTGCCTAGGGGTTTGCCCCATATGATTGAGAACCTTCATCGACGATACAGGCCAAATGAAGAGGCCGAGTCGTTGTGGGTCTTGACACGATTGCAAGCAAACGTGCGACTCGCAAGGGTGGCTATGAAACGAAACGGCACAAGCACGTTCTGAGAGCCCTTCGCTAACGAGCAAGGGCGGCCAAAGAACGACGACATTTAGGAAGCTCATCTGGCGCAAATTTCGACACCCGAGCGAGTGACACACACCCGTTGTTGGTACAGGTGTTAACGTCGTACGACATCAGTAACCTTTGAGTCAGTAGCTGCAACAACGAGCGGTGAGAAAGGTTGAAACAAGAGAGGAAGCCTTAATAGTTGCTGGGGATCTTCGTCACCTCACCTCCGAGCTGGCGCCCCCTGCGAGAAGTATCTCGATGCACTCGGTAGCTTTACTGCGGTATGCGCAATGAAGAGCGGTGTCGCCGAACTCCTGCGAATGAGCCGAGTGCGGTCAGGACACACGAGGCGAACGCACATCGTGCATGCCATACACCAAGGTTACGTTAGATAACTCTGCATGTTTAGCATAAATACCCTACTTGTCCGTTGTTTCGTTTCCGTCCCCTTGAATTTAATGTGTTGGAAGTCTACGTCGACTGCGGGTAGATAGGCCATGGTTCGCTGTCTGTTCTGTTGGTGTGCTGGTTTTTCGGGAGTCAATAAGAATCAATAAGATCTACCCACGAAAGCGTTTGCCTTTCTCGTGCTGTGGTGTCCGCAAACCGTGGCCATCGAGTGTTACTGGTAAAACTGGGTTGGAAGGCAACCCCCGGGGGGCGTTCGTCATCCCATTACTCTGGACCTGTTATAGAAGCTGGTTTGGACTGTGATTGGTGTTTAATCCTCCTCCGTGGTCTTGTTTTCTATCTTACACGTGCTCGTCCCAAACCAACCCAAAGTGAACTCTTAGTTCCAAACAATGTGGGGAGTGTTTGAATCGTGTGTACGCATACAAAATCACCTTCACGATCGGCGAGGGAAAGGGGCAGCTGAATCCTCCTCCCGATACAAATTAAGAAGGTGGAAACTGTGTACGTGGACTTCCTCCTCGGTGACTGCGGCTGGTATGTCCAGAAACACACCGAAATATTTACCTGACGTCCAGGATACATGAGATGACCCACACACACTCCCAGAGAAGAAAGGATCACGGACCAACCTTCAACAAATGTCCTACTCCGAATGGGACTTCACCTTGCAGATGAACACCCTAAAGCCATCACACACTGTTAGTATTGATCACCACTAAGCGCGATTTTGGTAAATGATTGTGAAGGTTTTTGAGTAAAACCAAACGGGGACTGTATCCCAAGGAGTCAAACCTTGAACCCATGGGAAAAACCGACGGTTTATCGGTACGGAGCATCGGAGGTGGGTTTCAACATTCTCTCAAGAACAAGCGCCCATAGGGATCACCTTGTTCTGTCTTACGGGGTGTATTTTACCTCCTGTAAGTCCACATCGTCCATTGCGTCGACCAAAACTTCGGTAATGCGAGGTTGATTGTTCTTAGCAGCCACGTGGAGAGCGGTGAACCCATCGTTTCTCTTGGCGTACAGGTTGGCTCCGGCGGAGATCAGGTCCTTCGCAATCTCCACGTGGGTCCAAAAGGCTGCATGGAACAACGCCGTTGCCCCGTCGTCATCTTTCTCCTGGGAAGGCGACAGTGGTGTTTGCGGTGGTGGTGGGTGCGCAGCTGAGAAAAATCGAAGACACTGACAGTTTTCCATCTGCAGTAGTACAGACGTACAGACTGACTCGGCAAAAAATATCATATCTACGCCAGAGAAAAGCTTGGTTGACTTAAGGTGTTGTGGACATCGCCAAAATTCCTCGAAGTTTTACTTTGAGTCAACAAACAACTACTGTATATAGGTAGTCGTTGGTGCACAGCACGCATTATTCGTTTAGACTATATTTCTTCGGGTCGGCATTCATTGTCCTCCTACTCGCACCATTGAAGCCAGATTGACAGAACAAAAGCATCTTTCCAAGCTCATCGCCGCAAGTGCTACATCCATGTACAACAGCAATACTGGTAATTCGTAGCAGTGTAGCATCTCGGTTACCCTGAAACGATTCCACTCACATCAAGATCACCGCTCCCATTGATAAACTTCTTGACGGCTCGTCGGTCGCCAACCATGACCTATGACCGTGCGAACCGTTCGAGAGCGTGCGCGTTGTGTGTGCATCATGCATGTGTGGGATAATGTTGCTCCACACGAAGGGGCAGCAGCTTTTCCTATCTCGTTGCAAGAAATGAAAGGTATGTTTCAAGGCACAGACTTCTATGTCTAGACTACTCTACATTGTATGCAAAGTCTAGATGTACATACCTCCAGCAGTACTGCTGTAGTAGTGTTGCACACACAATCGTAAGAAGAGCATCCCTTCGCCGGACACGTGACACTGCTCCCCTCTTTCAGCCTTTCACCACCAACTGCCCGAAACATCTCCTGTAACATTCTCTGCGAAGCCTAGAGTGCAATGACAACAGCCATCGGTATAGCCTTACCGCAACTTGAAGGTCCACATCCGTCATCTCGTCTTCCTCGTTCTTAACGGACGACGACGACCTCGGAGCAAGACCAGACGAAAGAGGTATATTCTCGGGCGCAGATTGACACTCAGCCACGCACGACGTAGCGAATTTACAACCCTGTCCACATCACTACAAACCACTGTTTATTTGCCGGTAGCTTTCTCTTTCTCCAGCGAAGAGACCGCTCGGAGTAAATAAATAATATCGTGAGATCGTCGCTACCAATCGTCGCCACGTCGAAATACTCAAGAAGGAAAAAACGTTTCACACACACGGAGCCCCGCACAACGTGAAACCCCCCTCACCGCCATCCGTGGTGCCACCCAGACTCCTGTTCGACCGAGCAAGCTAGCCAGCTGTTGAGCTTGCTTGTCAAGGTTTCCAGTCTAAGCCTTCCTGCTGTTGTGGCGAGGTAGTGGATAGCGTAAGAAAACGCTGTATAACGTGGGCCGGGTGATCGAGAAGGCTATACGAGAGGCGAAGCAGGTTTGGAGCGAAAACAGCAGCAATTGGAGGTCAGAGAGAGAGAGAGAGAGAGACGCGTCTCAGGCCGGGACACTGCAGACAATGGCTCCATCTGCTGCAACAAGGCGACGCTCGCCTAAGCGATTCTGGAATATGCACTTGCTAGTGTCACCTGCGGTGTTGATGGGCCTCCTCCTTCTTCTTTCTGTCTGCACAGCGGCGTCGAAAGGTGAGGAGCGAGGCTGCATCAGCAGCAGCGATCGCCTCCGGTTTTGTTGCTTGTCTCTCGAGGCCTCCACGCGGCACGGCAGCGGCAGGTACAGCGGTACATACATCGACGGTTAGGCGGAGACTGGTAGTTTGGGGCTGTCTTGGGGATCATGCCCTCTCACGCGCTTCCGGAAAGCTCTTCTATTTATAACCAGGGTGAAACCTTGCGTGAGCATGCAACGCAGCCACGCGTCACCCATGCTGTACCCCAACCCGCGGGCAGCGTATCTTTTTGGGGACCCCAAAAGCCTGCTGTTGCGGCAGCGCCACCCTAAAGCTGTCAGTCTGCATGTATCGTTGTAGACCCGCCAAATTGGAAGCAGTAGAGCCAAATGTCAGAGGAGGTGCTCCGAGGGTGGTTGGTCCCCACTACCGGGAACAGAGCAGATGTGACCTGACCTTCGTTTGTTTTTGTGACTTGTACCCATGCCATGTATGCATGCTACACATGTTTTGGGGTGGTTTCAATTTTTTTATCATTCTGTACCATATCCAATGCCGTGAGGAGTACCTGGTAGTAGTCTACGGATCGAAGGTACACCACAGCTGTGCTGTGTTGCACCACCGTGCGATAAAGCGGCGAACGATTCTTAGCTGCATTCACGAACGGGGATCGGAGAGGGTTTTTTCTGTTGTCCTCTAGCTCTCTGAAATACAATACCTCACTCTCACTTGTGCCGAAATCGGAGAACGGTTTCCACGGCATGTGACAGCAGTAGTCTACAGGAGACGAGCAGCGCACGACAAGACGCCGAAGGGGAACCCACCGCTCCAACCCGGAAGCTTTGTGCATGGCTTTTGTGCATGGTTTCGCGTTTTACCCCTTGAGACAGCAGCAGTCTACATGCTCCCCATTAAGGCTGGCGCACCTCCATCGCCCCGTAACCCTACCTACACCACACTACTGCCTGTTACCCACAACCATGGCCCTTAACCCTACGCCTTGCCGTTGCCTGTCTTTAACAACCGGTGGCACACCCGCTGGCAGGGCTGCCTCGGAGCACGAGAAGGGGATCCATGCCACGCAGTCTCGCGAAAGGTAAGATGCGGTGGTGAAAGCCAAAGCCCCAACACGGTTTGGGCTCACGGTACGTCGCCTGTCGTCTTTTAGCGTTGTCTGCGCGCCCCTCCACTGTTACCATGTTTTTCAACCCTAAATTAGCGCCGGGGTCAGGTTAGGCTCTGTCTGTCGTCGAGAAACGTGATCGGCAAGCAGCGACCGGTAAATACCCGCCCGTTCGCCCCCTGTACAATCCAAGACATGTCACACTAAACGCTCGCTGCCAGCGCGCACTTTTCTTCTCCCTCCGGAGTAAAACCGTCTGATTGTTTTTTGTTTGTTTGCAGGTGACGCCCCTCCCGTCCCACCTACATTAAACGAAGAAGCTTCTTGCTGCAGCAGTAGCGGATGCAGCGCCAGAGGGGAGGGAGACCGGATGACGTCAACCTCTTCCCGCAACGCACCCGCAGAAAGCGAAGACGGCCGGAAGAGCAGGCGAAAACCCGCAACGACGACAACCACCACGAAAACGCGCGGTGCCCCTCCAAGCAGCGCAGGCGTCGCGGGAGCACCAAGAGCGGCGGCAACGGCGGCGGCGCCCGCAACCGCAGCGGGGACACCGTCGCGCGGGCCGTCGCGGCAACGACGGCAGCGTCCGGCCGTGCCATCGGCCTCTGGAAACCACCGGGGCGGTGACTCGGGCTTGGACTTGGACACGGACAGCAGCTTCGAGTACGATGACTTGGACGACGTGTGGTCGGACGAGGAGGACGAGGAGGACGATGAGGGCGATGGGGGGTGGAGCGATGACGACAACGATGAGGACGACTGGGCCAGGGGTGCGGCCGGCGGCCCCGGCGGCGGGGGCAGGGCGGGCCGAAGGGCCCGGCGGGGGGGCGAGGTAAGGCAAGGTTTTCGCTCATGGCTGAGCGTGATGGAGGGGGGTTGTTTCGCGCCTTTTTCAAGCCATTGGAATATGACGCATCTGCTACTGCTGAGCATGGAGGGGGGTGGGGTTCTCGTTGTACTTCGTGCCTGAGCCGTTGGGCCGTATGACGCATGCACCCTTGAGGAGACGCAGCAACACCGCTACCTTCTCGACAGAATGATTCCCTAGTGGGACGGAGAGGGTAGGAGCTATCGTTCGATCGCCCCGTGAGTTAGATGTGGGGTACTGACGTACTGACGTTTGGGGGCTGTCGTACATGTTCCACCCCACGCTTCCGAGGCCCACTTTTTGGCGCTTGTGGGATTGCGGCGTCCTTACGCAACGCGCTTGGGAGCTAGCCTACACCGCTTTTCATTTTCTTTTGTGCTCCAGCGGCCTTTTGTGGGGGCGGACAGCGATAGACAGCGATAGACTCGACCGCGTTTGTGCCAATGCCTCACCTTTTTGTTGCTTAGGTTTAGGTTGAGAGCTGCCGGCTTGTTTGCATGCCCGCGCTTAATACGCTCTTCGAGCCGTGTTGCTGCAAGTGTCAATAAAAGTGCCGCGGAGGGGGTAAACACGTTCTTCCACATCTCGAGAAGTTCCTCTTTAAACAGGGTGTATAATGCCAAGTCGAAAAATCGAAGCATTAACGTCATGCCCTCGCTTGTGTGACACGGGCGGAGTTTCCCACCTCGATGCTGCGGGAGTCGGGGGTTGCGTGGAGCACTACCGAACGGGCACACAACGTACCAATCTTTGAGCTCTCGCACACCTTTGCACCGAGTTGGTCCTCCCGCGGGGCCCCCTGGCCTCATTCCCACCGAACGTGCGATTGTCGTCATGTTTTCGTTTCGCGTAAAACGACGTGAAATCAAATCACACAACCCAGCCGCCGAAGGCGAGCAAGATGGGGAGGGAGAGCGCGATGAGCATGTCGAGCATGCGGGACCGGCTGAACAGGGCGCGGCAGCGCGCGAGCAGCGCGTACCGGGAGGCCAAGAGCCTCATGTCGTCGGAGATGGAAGGGGTGGTGTTGAAGGCCACGAGGCCGGACGACCTTCCCGTGAAGCCCAAGCACCTGGAGGCCCTCATGAGGCCAACGGTGGAGATGCCGAAGGAGTTCAACGTCTACCTGCCGGTGGTGAGAGGTGCTTTGTGTTTAGTGGCAGTCGAACCCTGCTAGATGTGTGTAGAAGGTATTATGCTCCCACTGGTAGTTTTTGCCACCCCAGAACGAACGATTGGCCATCGGTGAATCGGTCCTATGTCCGTCCTCTCGATCAGTAGTCTATAACCGCTAAGGCATGCGAAACATGAGAGTACGGCCCCTCCGTCCGGGGGTGATGTGACCAACGTTGTTCTCCTTCCCCGCGTCCACCACCAAAAGAAACCGTCCGCAACGACCATCGACCTCGAGAGGCGGCGTGATTTGTCGACGTCTGGTACTCGATGGGGTGACGCCAAGGCCTATTTATGCATCCCTCCCTCCCTCCATACGTTTGGAACAAGACGATCCCTTCGGTGGGGCCATTGATTGCTCGTGTCTGTGCGGTATGCGACTCCCCGTGCCTGCAACCTCTTGCGCACTGGTACGCCACATGTTTGCAGCAGCGTATGCAGTCTTCGAAAATTCGCGGGTATTTTGTCTCCGTTCGAAGGTCTAACCCCTTCGCTCTTTCTATGGAAACACAATCGAGGAATCGATGCCCTACAAGCTAGTGTGTCTGTGTTTTTACTTGACTGGTGTCGTCGATACCCTCTGTTTTCTTTATGTACCCGGCAATCCTTCGGAATCCCAAAGGTGAGAAAGCTGTGGTCGAAGATGGCGGATAAGGAATGGAGGGTCTCGGCAAAGGCGCTGTACATCCTGCATCGCTTCGCGGCGGACGGCAGCATCGAGCACGCCTCCAACCTCAAGGAGTCGGTGGCCGTGCTGAGGACGCACCACGACTCGCGGAGGAAGGTATGCATAGGAAGGGAAGAGATAAATCCTACAAATTGTTCGCCCTCGTGACGGGCGTGAAGTTTTCTCCCTCCGCGCACGCCTTACCACGCCTTGGGGGTTGCATCAAGGTCTGTCGAGCAGTTAGCATGTCGCTGCGGACCCCCCCCTGCCCGCGATCTTTGTGGACGTCTTACTGGCACTCTCACACCCTCTCCCCCATGACACTTTTGCTGGTTGCTCCTATTAATAGGTGAACTACTTCGACATGGACACCATCTGCGACGTCAAGGCGCCCTCGTGGTCCGGCGAGGACGTGGCTCCCATGGCGGAGTTCTTGCAAGGGTACGCCGACTTCGTGCTGCGGAGGACGACTCAGTTCGGCCCGGGGTTCGCGGAGCTCTTGGTGAGAAGTTCTAGGCGTGTGCTTGTGTGTTGGTGTGTGTGTTCTTCGATGGACATCTCGATTGCGCTGATGGGCCGACCAGTGAATGAAAGGACGTTTTAGCCTTGAGAAAAATAAAAAAATGGCGATTCCTATTCCGCAGGGTCATGCAGCAGCGGGGGGCGCGCGGAGGGCAATTGAGATAGGGACCCAACCTCCTCGTTACGGGGTACATTGTACATGCGAAATAAGGCAGACACTGCCGTGTGCGTGTATGCTCGACCGAGAGCCTCCCGCGTGGCTATCGAACAGGCCGCCAGCCTTGAGAGGGTAAAAAGTCATGGTCCCCCGAAGGCACTCGTGTTTTGTTTCTGTTCGCCTGACGGATGAAGAGACGGGACGGGTACCCTGGGTTCCGGCTATTAATAGCCGGGTGAAGAGTTGTCGGATGAAGAGAGGGCGCAAGAGTGTTCTCGGGTTTGATAAGAAGTGAAGGGATTGCGCTGATTCAATCGAACCCCGGTCCTTTCTTTTGTCGTTTGGGTCATAAGCATGCGATGGCATGAACCGGCGCAGCAGAACACGAAGCCGTTTTTTGGCTTTGTGCGTTTCGTTTGGCCACCACCGCCATTCGCCGTGGTTGATATTCGACCGGCACTTGTACTGCCTAAATTTAACCGAAGACCGTTTTTTCTGTCGTGTGTGTCCTCATGCGCGACTCGTTCGGGTGAGATGATGCGTGCCTTTCGTGACGCTTCCCCCCGTTTTTTTTTTCTTGCTTGCCGTGTCTGATGGCATGATGTTCCAAAGGATGCCTTCACGATGCTCCTCGGGGGAGGGGAGGTGATGACGGCGGTGGCAGGGCTGGTGTCTGTGGGGTCGAAGTGCTGCCATCTCCACGAGGAGCAAGAGGGCGCCATAGCCGTGGCGGCGGTCGTGCAGGTGGCGCACGACATTCGCGATCTGGTGGAGGTCTGCGCCGCGCAACTTGTAAGAGAGGGGATGGAGACGGTACCCGCGGGGCAGCGGCGGTAGATGTGGGAGTTGTCATATTTGGCATGAGTTAGTGTCACGCGTCCCCCAACTTAATTGTTGGGCGTATTTGCTGAAGAACTGCTGTGTTGCGGTTCATAGCTAACTGTATGTAGACGCTGCACGTTCTACGCTACGCCCGTCGACATTCCCACCCAGTGTAGGCAGGTGTTCCAAAGAGTGTTTGTCCCGTACCATACTATGGTGCCATATTTTGTGTGGTGGGGCTGAACTCACAGGATGCGCTCTGTGCGGGCGGGCCTCTCACGCGTTGTTTCCCACGCACCGGTTCTTTTTAAGACGCTGTTGTTGTTGTTGTGGGACGCTTTTTACCCCTTCCTCCTCAGGACTACCTAGCGAGGGAGTGGAACGCACGGTCGGCCTACCGGGCGGAGGTGGACGATTGGTATGCCTTCCTCTATGAGAACCAGCGGCCCGTGGAGGCGCTGATAGACCGGGCCAACGAGCTCGCCGAGAGGCATAAGCTGGTCGCGGTGCGCCCCCTGGCGGCGACGCCTCTCGTGCTCAAGCTGCGCGAAGAGGAAGTGGCGCTGGAAGAGCAGGCGAGAGCAAAAAAAAGACGGGTAGTATAGATACCAACCACCTGGAAGGCTTTTTGTTGTTGGGTCTTGTGGTGGCCCGGGCGGGCGTCCGAGGTGGTCATGGTTGTGGGCATGTGTTGGTGTGTTGGGGAGGGCTTCTGCTCGGCGGCCTTGCCCATCTTTGAGCTGGTCGGGTGTTGAGTTTCGGTCGTTCTTTGCTCCAGAAGAAGCGATGGGTCGAGGCGTAAAAGTCTGTTCGTTGTCTTGAGGAGGACGAAGTGATATGATGCTACATTTTTGCTTCGTTTCCAGGGAGAATTCCGCAGATTCTGCTGGGCGAAATAGGTGGAGGCGTGAAAGCCGTTGCTTCCTTGCGTCAAGTCAAGCCGATCCGTATCGAGATCTGCGTCCCACCTCACAACGTGGGCGCGTCGTCGTTGCCGCTTTTGATGATGGCCCTGACGCTCACCTATCCGCAACTCCCGCCGCCCCTTCCTCCTGACACGTTGTGCGTTCCTGTTGGTGGTCCAGGCCGCACTGGAAGCAGAGAAAGAGCAGTACTCCTTGGACGAGGGAGAAGAGGAGGTAGAAGCGCTAGACCAACCCTTGACGGACGCCTACCAAAGGAGGCCCGCGGCGCTCGAAGCAGGCAAGAGACACGCGAGAGGCTTTAACAGCACCGCCCGCGGCGGCGGGGGCAGCAGCAGCGGGGGCGGTGGCGAAGGGGGAGTAGCGGGGACGACCAGCCGCCCGCAGCGAGACGCGCGAGCACGAGAGGAGTCCGTCCCGCCGCCGTCGGCCCCGGCTCCAGCAGCCGCGAGAGCGAGAGGAACAGACGCGAGTGGTCGGGGCGCCGACGCAAGACCGTCACCACCCGCTGACGTTGGCACCGGTCCTACACAGAAGAGGAGCGCTTCGTCTGGAGCTAGTAGTGGTACCGCGCGACGGCCGGCGGCGGCTCGGCGACCGCCAGGCGGGGGCTCGGCGACAGTAGAAGCGGCGAGGGCAAGGGGGCGAGAAGAGGCGGAAAGGGGCGGCGGTGGTGGTGTCAGGAAGACGGCGTGGGAAGGGGACGGTGGTGAAGGCGCCGTCGTGACGAACCGGGTCTCGAAACGAAGGCGTTCGTCGAGCAGCACCAAGGCGCGGCGAGGGGAGGGAGGGCGAGCAGGAGCGCCCGTGGTCAAGGGGGGTGCACGGCACGCTGCTGATGATGATGATGACGCGGGCTCGGCTCCCGCGAGTAGCAGTAGTACAAGTAGCCGACCACAGTCTTCTTCTGCCTCCAAGAAGATGCGAAAAAGAAGCAAGCGGGAGTCTTTGGAAAACCCGCCGCGGTCGGGGTGATTTTGTTTTATCTGTGGTTTGTGACGAGATCGTTCCGCGCTCGCCGCGCTCTCGTTTTGTTTTTGGTGGTATGATAAAAGGTGGTGGTAATATGTAGGGGGAAGGTGATGCGCGCATCCTATCCAGTCTGTCCATTGCGTATGTATTTTATGTAACGGGGGGGTTGCGTGTATTGTGTGTCGCGTCAAGTGGAAAAAAATAAAGGTACCAGTAGACAAGGTGTGTGCATGCGTGCTTGTGTGGTCAATTTCCACCATCACGACCTTGGGAATCGTTTACAATTAGGTTGATGAGCGTTGGGTACTAAAGATAGAAGCTGTTTCCTCGTGCCTTATTGCAGATGGTGTGCATGCTATTTTCTGTCCTACAACCGAAACATTATTATGTGAGCATTTGGGCAACGAGTTGTCACCCCCTTCGCGTCATTTTCTTGGTCCCATTTGTTTGTCCGATGGGTAGTACCGTATCTCTCCGCAAGACGTGTGGGTCCGCGGACGTGACCATGGCAGGCACACCATGATCTCACCAGCTTCTTTCGTATTGGCCCGGTGTTTCCGCCTTGGAGCTTTACACCTGTGAAGGGGTACCTATGCTCCCTGTTTACCGCTGGCGGAAAACTCCACCCCCCCCCCAATAGTATTTTCTCGTCATTATTTGAAGCTTGAGCATACCCGTGGTCCAGGGCTATAAACAACTCTGTTTGCGCCGTCTTTCGTCGGTTGCGCGAGGGATCTGCCCACTCCCGTTCCTGCGCACGGCTGGTTCATTAACAGTCCCTCGTCACTACTTCACGCCAAAGATTAAGATTTCCCGAAACAATCCGGTTGACACCAACTCGGCAGTCTGTACACGCAAAACACAGGACGAGTGGCTGGGAGAGGCGTTTTTGCGCCCGGATCCTGCAACCCGAGGTGCTGGTACTGTTTCTTCCATGCTCCCGGCGAGGCGTGTGATGGGCTGTCCCCCCCTCCTTTTGTGGTCCCGATATCGGCGGCTGCCAGACCGCGCTGCAATCCCTCCGACGCAGCACTCAGTACACGGTGGTTCGTCTCTCGCTTGATTGCATTCCTGCTGGTGAAGGTCTTTTACGCTCTGCCGGGTGGTTAAGTAGATGGGAGATGGAAGGGTTGTGTGTGGGTCAGCAGGGAAAAATATACTTCGATTTTTTTTCGTGTATTTTTTTCCTCGGCACTGAAATGCCCCGCTGAGGCATTGCTCCGGGCGCGTCTAGGGGATACCATATCGATGCAACAAGACAACTCCTTCGGCATACGGACATCACGACCCACCTCCACAGCAGTACATAGACCCCCGGGACAACAGTAAAGTACATGTACGTCTTGATCTCGTGGGTCACGTAGGCCCCAAAACTTCTCCCCACAACAACGTTCCAGCCTCGGCCGTACGACTTCTCGAACGCTTTGCGGATGCACGAAGCAATCGTTGTGAACACCTTGCTCGTCGTCGTCGTCGTCGTCGTCGTCGTCGTTCCAGTCAATGGATTGATCCCCCGGTGATCATTGAGGATGTACCCGCCGGTAGTCATGGAGAAATAACGAAGACAAGGCAAGTTAATAAGGCACGATTGCTTCCGCTCAAGTTATTCCTTGGACGTTCACTACGTAAATCGTTTGGACTATGCGATCCCGATGCCCAACGTTCGGGACCCTCCCCGAAGACTGTGTGCGCTCCAGCAGACCTCCGAATTCCAAATTTCTATTGACCGATCAATTGCGAAGTTGACCAGGAACGCTTCTTCTCTCTTGTCGCGATCCGGGGGACAACAAGACTTCTGGCCAGCGAGATCACACTCCGGATTTGTTGTGGTCGAGTACATAATACATACATACGTGGTTTTTCAGATTCCAATGTTCAGTCATGACAATCAAACGTTCCGCTCTATTGCAAGTTTAGACTAGAATGCTGTTGCCAACGCAAGTACATGTGGGTTCTCTTTTGTCCTCGGTGTGACTCTGGTTTCTCTTCCACCATATACATACATATGACCCACACATGGCGGCTACAGTATGACGAATACACCAGCCGCGAGGGACAAACTGCGACTCGGTTGGGATGAACTACGTTTATTTGCCGTGCGACGGTGAGTCAAACCTCGTTGTGAACAAGTGTTAGGAGTGCGTAGTAGGTAGGTGTAGTCACAGTTCTATGTAGTTGGCCTTGTTCAACTACCGGTCCATAGTCAAGCGAAAATATCATCGTGTACATTCCTCGCGTCCTACCTGGCCTTTCGTGATCGTCAACTGGAAGGCTTCTTGGCTGGTTTCCAAGGCGAACTGGCACATCTCATCCGACATGTCTTCCGCAAAAATATGTTGGTGTTTATTCGACATGATGGTAAGTAGCTATCTGCAGAACCCCGCGGCAGCTCCCCTCGATCGACTCGTTGCCGTCTTTGATGCAAGATGTTGCCTTCGTTGATGTTGCTCGTCCAAACGGCGTGGTCCTAAGCACTTCGAATTCGAGAGCAGGCTGTAGACTAAGTCTGTGAGATGCAACCTGCAAAACATAACGCGGACAACCAGAACACAGAAGGAAAATACAAATAAATGTCTATATTAATTGTCAATGCTTCACAAAATCAGTAAACGTGACTTCGATCTTGACAAAGCGTCAGTCTTGTAAAATGGGATTCGAGACCAGCTCGAGACTGCCTAAATACGGTCTGGTCTACACTACTGTAATAAATTATATGGACTACGAGGTATCAGGCTAGTTGCCTCAAGGCCTAGGAAACCCCTAGTAGTCCCTCTCATGTGCGTGAAGTCTAGACACTTGGTCCTGGAGTCCTGGACATCCCACCAACGTTTCACACTCACGTTCAGGCTAACTGAAGAGGCTCACCGAAGCGGCAGACGCACCACTGCAATTCCACTTTACTTCCACCTCTACGAATCGGTACGAGTCTCACCTAGCTTTTGCTAGACACGCCTTGATACACAATTGCCCCGTGCGGGGATGTGGAGATACAGCAGATCTTCTGTTAGAGGAGATGCGGCAGGATTGGTGACGTTTCGTCGCGATGCGGCGAATTTTCCAGAATTTGCTCTACAGCAGCAGCAGTAAAGCAGAACTGTAGTCCAAGCGGTGGTGCAGTACAGCAGTAGTAGCGCTCAAATGCTCGTGTTCATACTTCTATTTCCAAATCAGTGGATCGTCCATGCGCCGGCATGCACTTTCAGACTGACGAAGTGAGCGCTTGGCACAGCCCATCCATCCAGTCTCATATCAAGGACATGATTAGTCCTGCTCACCATGACAGCGAAGCCGCCCGCCTTCTTGCATCGCTCGTTCCAGGTACTACTAAACAAACTGCGTAGTTTGTAGACTAGACTACAACTTGTACCAACGCAGACATCTTCCTACAGTGAACATGCATTCGGCCGGTTGACGTACTCTGTTCGCTTGTTTTCACTTGTTTTGCATACAACACTTGGGTGCGAAGCTCGAGGTGTGTGTGTGCGGTGCCAATTGCGTCATTACCCACGGGCATACAGATCCTACCTATGTGGAGATGTGTACAAGCTTATCGGTTCTCTTGGTTGTTTTACGTAAGTAAATAGTGGTACATATGATATGCAAGGCAGGAACATGTGTGGGCGCACGTACGTCCGAAAATACGGTTGTTGACAAAACTGTCTAGATTATCATACCTTGGTCATGGCACGCGGTACGCATCACACCTTTCCTTTGGCCCAATATATCTCCGCTGTTTCGATGCATGCAGCACGAAGTACTACTTGAGCCGTGCAGCTTTACCAGCATCGCCGTTGTTGACGGACCCAGTGAACCTGACGCGACTTCCACCGTCGCGAAAAAAAAAGTCAAACAACGATGGCTAGTATTTGTCGACAGGCGGAGAGGGCTGCTAGGGAGCATGATGCTCTCTTGCCCGACCCGGGTCGACCAGCTCCCAGGACGTCGACGCTCGTACCATTTTCCCGTACGACCGGTGCCTACTGCTGTTGATTTATCAGTACCAGACAGCAAACCAACAGTACTGACAGGGTCTAGTGAAGTATTGCCGGCACATGGGAGCCAAGGTACAACGGCACAGCGCCGAACGGAACACCAGGCAGGTTCAAACCCTGCTTCCAATGCCCGTGCAGACGATAGTCGAAAAGGACGAAGAAAGAGTCTGCCGCTTCGGACAGGAAAACTACTGGCAGACGTCGATGATGCAGTGGCTTGGCCAACTCTGGTAGTAGAGAACAACACCGGCCAGGTGGGAGAGCATCCACCAGAGGACAGTGTGACGAATGTTGTTGTCGAAAGTTGTCAAACGGCTTCACTGGAGAAACGGGCGGATCAATACGACGGTAGAATATGTCAATACCGAACGGAGCCTGTCGATCGCCTCTCCAGATCAGCCTTGGAAGAGGCCTCCTTACGCCCCACCGTGGTTGCAGAACCGCAGAAGACAAAGGTACCCTTTGTCGTTGAGAGCACGGTTTGTCCTGCCGTGGTGCCGACGCAAGCACGATCTCCAGATAACGGCGTAGGCGAAGACAAACAGGAAAAGGAAGAAGCCGTGAAGATCCTACTCAGTGGGTTGAACAGGCCCATTCTCGTGGCAGCGGCAACAAGTACAGGTACAGGCACAGGAGTTTTTTTTATCGAGCAAGCATCACCAGCAGTCACAGTGGATTGCAGTAGTTCGTCGAAAGCAACGACGACCACACCACAGCCCCCAGAACATAGTGCCAACCGGACCTTTCGAGAAGAACAAGTCAACCAAGAACGAGCATCTAGGAATCGCCCGCCCCCTCCTCGAACATGGCAACTGCGCTTCCTCCGGCGGGGAGCGAAACAGGCAGTAACATTGGTTGAGAATTTGTGCAAGCCGATCGCTTTGTGCATCGGCGGCACAGACTCGAGCGTGTTTGTCCTGGAAGAGGTGCACAAAAGACGACATTGCGACAACGACCCCGACCAAGCTATGAATCTTAGTGGCTCACAACAACATTTCTGCCGCAGACCAAAACGATACAGAGTTCGGTCCTTGCGTGGATCTCACTTTAACGCGTGGTTGAGCAACGAAGAGGCGAAAAGAAGGCGGTTTACAAGCGGAGAAGAAAGCGCAACGTCCCATCGGCACGATAGACAGACGGGTGGGATTGGCACCCAGATTGACGCGAAACAGAAACCCATCGACGACCTAAGTTTCCTCAACGACGAATCAGACACCGATTGGGGCAGTTCTTCCGACGACTCTGACGATGGCAATTTTGACAACCACGACAACCAAGAGGTGGCCGGGGTATCGATCGGAGCTCGGGTAAAAGAAAACGGGTCCGAGCGTTCTATCCGGTCCCGCAGGCGGCGCGGTGTGGTGGACTTTGTCGAGATACTTGCCTTCCAGTCGCCTTCAGCATCAAAAAAGGATAGCGAACGCCATCGTGAGCAGCCCGTAGGTCTATGCGTTCTCAGAGACGGAACGGTCGTCGTCGCCTTCTCCCGCCCATTCCCCCTACATGGTGGGGCCAGTGTTGCGAAAAGCCAGGGCGTCATTCGTGCGTTTCCGGCGAACGAGATGGACGTCGATAGGTTTCCCCATACGGCACTATCGACCAACACAGCCGACGAGACACTTTCACCGAGGCCCGTTGCATCTCCGTCTTACTCCACCGAAGACAGCTGGTTGGTCGCCGAAGGACTGCCGGTCATCACTGGTCTTGTCGCAGGCGCGGGGGGTGCCATCTACATGTCGCTATGCGGGGCCAGCCACGATGGCACGGTTACATCGATAGGGTCTTTGTCGACGAGAAAACGTTGCCGTGTCCCACAAGTTGATCCCCGGCGAGAAGATTTCAGGAGTCGCACGGCATGTGAGAAACGGGAACGAGCATCGTCTGCGGGGCGAGACAAACATGCGGGCGCCACTTGGGGCGACGGTGTTGGCATTTCCCACAGCGAGGGAAAACTTGCGCGAATTTCTTCCGGGTTTGCAGCCACTCTGGCCGTCGATGATGATATGAACTTGTGAGTGTAGCAGTTTATGTAAATAGTCAAAACTTTTCCAGCCTTTTTATTTGTCTCTACTTTTTCAAGAGCTTCAGCTTGCGTAGCATGGCTCTATCCTGTCACTTGTCACTTTAACCCTGGCTGAATCCCGTCCTGGTACGCGATACACCGGTCGATGTTCCCCATACGTGCCTCGTACAGGCATATCATGACAACAATGAACATGGGTTCCCCGCGATTTGTCATGTTCCGCGCCTCCGTTCATGTGCGCTTGTACCCGCTCTCCAGGTTTTACATCACAGCTGAGAGGAAGGGTACTTGCCGTGCGCTATGGTGCAGCGTTCCCGGCGCGGGAAGTCGGAGGGTCAGCTCCATCCGCGAGAATTTCCCGACGGTGCGCATCACGGCTGCAGGGGTGCCCCCGAAAAAAATAGCAGACATACCCGCTGCAATAGGACGGGCAGAACGAAGCATCGTTAGCGGGGACCGTGGGACGGAGAGCGGCGGTGGAAACACCGGCAGGGCGAAGGATCAAACAGCGCAGGCATCAGCAGCAGCCGCAGTAGCGACGAAACGAGCGGCAGCTCTTAGTTCGGCGTTGGCAGAGGACGACGAAGCAGTTCCCGCGTCTGGTCCAGGCAGGAAATCTTTGTTCGCTTCCCGTCGCCGCTCGACTGCCGACAAGGAATACACTGATGGCGATGATGGTAGCGGGGTAGGGAAAGAAGAAAGTAACGCTCCGGTCAACATCGCCGTTGTTTCACGGTGCCGCCCGTTGCTCACGCGGGAGATGAAGCGAGGGGTGAGGGCCGCCGTGTTCTGCGACGGCAACGAGATTATCGTGATGGATGAAAGATTGCCGACAAAGCGATCGAGGAGGTTTGGGTTCGACCGCGTTTTTGGTAAGACTTCCCTCACCTTGCCTAGTGACACAATGTTTTTCGCTCCCGTGCTGTAGCTGGCAGAATACCCTCAGACGGTAGGCATGAAACACATCACACTATCGACGCCACCAACGCTTAAAGGGCATCATACATCTTTACGACGAGATACTGTGGTTTGTTAGGAGGTCGAACCTCTTGGGCCCAAGGCGCACATTCATCGAACGAAGTGGGTGTGGCTCTACCAAAACAGCTCCATTCTTTCCTCGCCATTCCACCCTCGTCTCCATACCCACAACGCGACTCAGGTCCCAGAACCAGCCAGGCTCGATTGTACTCGGAAGCAGTCTGTCCAGTAGTGCGGAAAATGCTCGATGGCTTCAATTGCTCTGTTTTGGCGTACGGTCAAACTGGGTCCGGAAAGACGTTCACCATGGAGGGTGGGCTAGTGGACCCGAACATTGATGTGAAGAAGACGGCAGAGGCCGACCCTGACGACGTCAATGCCACCGCTTGCGAGGTCGAAAAGGTTGGCATCATACCACGCGCAGTGCACACGATATTCCGAGAGGGGGGATATGGTGGGACCCGACGATATTGGGTGTACGTGTCCCATATGGAGATCTACAACGAGAGGCTGTTCGATTTGCTGGCCCCTGAGGCCGCCACCTTGGCCAAAGCCTCGGCGACGAACAGCAGTGCAGCACCCTCTTCTACATCCGGCCGTTCCCGTTCTCCAACACACCGGTCTCCACGTAGCACCCCCGGCAGCAGCGGCAGCCGTCCTCTTCAAGGGATCGGACTAACAATCGAGGAAGACCGGCATCTTGGGGTGATGGTTAAGGGTTTGACGCAGGTGGAGGTGAAGAGCCCGGAGGAGATATTCGCCATCATCGCCAGGAGCAAGAACAACAGGCGCACGGCTGAGGTGTGAAGAAGCAAACCCATGATTCAAGCACACCCTTTCAACTGTTCGTCCTCGTGGGGTCGCTCTCAAACGCTCCTGTTTGTATCTCGTGCAACGAAGCACGACACATTTTGCCCCTTGAGGCCGTCAACTCTATTGCCTTCCCACCACCCTCAAAAGGACACTTGTGTTAGGGGAGACTCTGGGCAACCTACAGGCGAACCAGAAGCACCCCGTTCCCCTTGGCGAGTCGTCGTTGTCAACATTGCAACTCGTGTCCATGCTCCCGAAGTTGACAACGTCGCCCATCCCGGCAATCGATCAGCCACTTACTCGCGTTCTCCAACATTGCCAAAAGACCACACGCCATCCTCACTTCTTGATTGACCTGTCACCGCCGCTGTCGCATTGCTCCCGGGGTGCGACTGCCCCCCTCCCAGACAATGTGCAACGTCGAGTCTAGCAGGAGTCACGGGGTCTTCTGCGTGAGAGTCATTTCCGCCGAGCCCACACCGTGGGGAGGTGAGATCACCCGAGACGGGCGGCTCAGTCTCGTCGATCTCTCAGGCTCCGAGAACATCAAGAGGTCTGGGGCTGTCGGAGATAGGGCGAAAGAGGCAGCTGCGATCGGACAGGTTAGCTTCTGAAGGATTTTGACTTACTTTAGGCTGCGTATTTGCCTCGATTCTTCGCTGGCACGGAATCGTATCCGATCGATTGTTTTCACTCACTCTCGTGACAACCATCACCATTGCTGTGCTATGTCTGCACACGGCCAACTCCGTTGCACAACATGCCCACGGGATTCCAGCAGGCCACGCGAAGGCGTCCCCCCAGTCACAGAAATATATCTCAACAACGTGGAAACACGCTGTCGACCATTGCAGGGGTGGAAACACGCCGTCGACCATGGAAGGGGTATTGTCTAGCAGCAGAACAACATTAAGCGTATCGGTTGTCGAGGAGACTTATTTCTCCGCCATGCTCTGTTGACACCAGCCGTCATTGCGTTGTTGCCATTTTTTTTCTGGCAATCCCTGGCAACCTTGCCAGAGTCTGCTAGCGCTGGGCCGGGTGATCAAAGCCCTTGTTAAGCACGCTCCACACATCCCTTACCGCGAGTCGAAGCTCACGCGGGTGCTGGGGGACAGCCTCGGTGGGAACGCTTTCACAGCCATCATTCTGAACATCACCCCCAACAACGGGATGCTGGAAGAAACGCTCAACACTCTGACGTATGCCAAGGTAAACCCTATGCTCGCTACTTCGAAGACCGGTGTGGTGACACTCGACGCTGTCATGGTTATGCGTAGTTGACTCTCTACCTTGCAAACGAACGGCTTATTCATTTATTGCTGTCTTTTTGTTTGAGCGTCATATGTATAGCTCTGGCATGACTGTTGGCAAAATGCCGCTATTCTTCGAAGCCAACGTTGCTCTTCTCTTGCCCCCTGCACATGGCCCTGAATCTCTAAAAACATGACACAAAATGAACAGACCGCGCAGAGCGTGCGAAACACACCGAAGCAGCACATCGCCAACAAGGCCCCCACGGAGAAGGCGACGATCGGAACGGGGGATTCAAGTCACCTTGCACCATCCTCTGGGGTACAAAACCTCAGTTGCAACATGGTGAACGAGCTCAAACGATGGAGGGGGGACGTCAAATCCCGGTTGCTTTCATCGGGGTCGTCCCGCGGGGCTTACATTAGCCCATGGGAAAGCCAGGTCCCTATTGACGCCCCCAGCCACTTTTCATCGACTGCTGGTGGCAGGTCTCCAAACATGGACGGACCGTCCCACCAGCGGCGCCATAACCCGTCGGTGTTGTCATCGCAGCCTTTCGCCGACGACGTACCCAGCAACCAGCAAGGCTCGGGTCGTGGTATCGCCGGTGATAAGGTGCGGAAGGAGGTTGACAGGAGGAGAGGTACTCCCATCCCTTCGTTACCAGCACGTGTGGAGTTTTCCCTAGAAGATGAAGGACGAAGGAGGTCGGGGTCAGAGACGAATCTCCTTTCACCTGCTGAGACCGCTGGAGCGTCGGGGGTGACGCCGCGACGTGGGTGGAGGGGGGGTGGGGCACCTACATTTACTGCTGACGCTCGTGACGGGTTGGTCTCAGGCACACTGGAACGGATGCCATCGACAACGAGGCCCGGGTATCTACAGCATGACCGTAATTCGCTACGAGGATCCCGATCTTTCGGGCCTGGGTTCGGCGGTAGGAGTGACAGAAAGGTGACACGGAGAGTATTTGATAGCGCCGCCGCTGAATGGGTACAAAACGCAGTGTTAGAACACACAGTGAGCCCTCGCGTTGATAGACCTAGGCAGAAGCCATTTATTGCAGAAAGGGCGCGGCGGGCAAAGAAGGGACAAATCGCTTTCACAACAGAAGATGACGGTGGAGTGAGCCTTACGGCCAAGGCGAAGAGAGCCGTTGAAGAGGTCTTCGACCGCTACGTTCCAAGCGGCAAACCGGGCCGCGCCTTTCTTCTCTCGGCCGAGGTGTCCGCCCTTCAGGAGATATGGACGCGCCCCGATGCCGAGCCACCGCCGCCGCGACTATCTCCGCCGCCCAAACGCGCTCTAAGGAAAATAACTCAACCGTCCGAGCTTTCCCCTAACCGTGGATCGGCGGCATTCGGCCTACCGGAGATGTCCAACAACGAAGCCTTGGGCACGAGAGTGTTAACGCAGGAGGCATTCGTCGAGTTCTGTCGTCGCGCGGCTACCCGAGATGCCATATTTATCCGCCACTTTTTTGTGAGGAGTGGGTACGATTGTCGACTTGAGGCACCGCCACCACCACTTGGCGATGATACTAATAAGGGTGATCCAGTGTCCCCTGCATGGCGGCCAAGTCCGCAGAGGAAGCGATCGACCATCGTTGCACGGCGTGAATCTAAGGATGGTGCCACGATCAGGACACGTGACTCAGTAGAGGCCGTGGGTAGTCGCCCTACCAGCGGTAGAGGCAGGCACGAGGGGCCCAGTCGGACTGTCTCGCGGAGGCATGGTAGCCTTACGGGCGGTAGAGAAAAAGGGGAAATGCCAACCTCCCACTCTGCTGCTCTCCCGAAAGAGCAAGAGTTGTTCGAGAATGAAACCGACGACATTGGGTGCTTGACGTCCGGCGGTATAGTAGACGCCGCCGAGTTGTGGCTGTGGATGGAGGACGGAAGGGACCACGGAGAGCGATCGAGACTGGAAGGCCTGCTTTCGAGAGGTGGGGGCGCACATGTCTCGAGATCGGGGGTTACGGCCGTCGTCGGCATGTACTCTGGCACAAAATGCCAAGACAGCTCAACGACGGCAACAACACCCGTCTCCTGCCCCAAGGATCAGAACCGCGACGTGCCGCTACATGCGGCCGTCCCCTGCCCTGCCATGGACGAAAGCATTGCTGCCGGCGAAACCAGCGCAACCGTCCCGCTCGATAAAACGTCCGGCCCTGAATTCGTGAGGACACCAACGGGCCACACAGCAGCCGGAAACGGAAAGATTTCGCGCTCCGATATGGCATATGATGCGGCGAACTCCGCTACCATCAGTCCCGAAAATCACTGGGAGGTTGCAGCCAACGCCCCATTGCCCGAGGGTGCAAGATGTGCCGGTCGTGATGCTGGTAGTAGTAGCGTTATGAACGCGGAAACCAGGTCGACAATATGCGAATGGTGCGGGAAATCGTTGACGGCCGCAGCCGTGCACTCCGCCGCCTATTGCGACTTTGACGACTCAAGATAGGCATAACACGTGGACACCAGCGATGAACGTTGCTAATAAAATAAGAAAATAATTGGCATTGTGACAACAGAGCAGCACTCGCTCTTGACTCACGCCGCCTCGTAACTTTGCTGTGCCTCCTGAAGACTTGGCATGCAATACTGTGTACTTCTATAACACTATTTAGCCGTCCCATCCCCTACTTTGAGCTTTTGGTGACACCATTGAGCATTGAGTACAAGTGCAAGTATCGTGCACGTTATTAGCAAAGAAAGACAGCAAGCCCCCCGAGTCATCGAAGTCAAGCCCAGTCTCAGTAGACGCCGCCATCGATTTCCCCCAAAACGAACATCTGGCAGAAATGTGGGACATGTGCATGTACCATGGATGCCAGTCCACGCTACCGCGCGCCCCCCACGTGCCCCGCCCTGCAGAGAGTTTGTGATCCATGCCTGGAGATGTCGATGGTCAGAAAGATTGGGTTCGATTACCACAGTCTCCGGTGCCGTTACACCAAAGAAACAGGGAGAAGCACATTTCAACACCGAACATGCTTTATAGAGTGCCGCTGCTCTGCTGCACGACGCCGCACTCACGACCACCCTCTCCCCCGCTTCCCTCCCAAACCCCTCGAGCCCTGCTGGTACGAACAACCTCTTGATACCCATTCAACGCCCGGTCACACCACCACCACCATCAAGAGACCTCTCACCACCCCCCGGCAAGACCTTCTTATCACCCGGTCTGCTTCTCTCGTGAACACTTTCACGAACGTCTTTCCGACGTCCTCCCCGACAGGAAAGGCTCCGCTCACGCTTTCGTGCGGCAGCCAAACCTACAAAAATAATAGTGCTTGGACGCCAACCGGCATCTTTTATCACGACCGCCACACCACTACGATAACCAATAAATGCCCACACAGAATAAAACGTCAACACACCGTCAATAAAAATGGCCACCATTTCTCCATCCGTGTCGCGGCCTTTCTCACGACCACTTCTCTGACGCCCTCTTCCGCAGCAAACGCTCGACCCTGTCATTCACGCCACCATCAGACAAACCGTTGGGACGCAATCCGCTGCCTGTCCTACGGAAACCGACCTTCGTGTTTAAACTGGTGGTCAGTCCCATGCGTCCTGGCGCTGCCGCCGCGGCCTGTTCTTCTCCTTCTACACTTCGGCCCGCCGCTATCTCGACCTCAACGTCGTAGAGCAGCTCAGCCAGCTCCTTGATATCCACGCCACCGCTCCTGTCCGGGTCCGCGAGGCGAATCAACTCGCGTCGTTGTTTGCTGGAGAGAAGGAGGCCGATTTCCTCCAGCCCCCTGTGCTCAAGGTACCGCCGTTGCCATTGCCATTTAGAATCACAAGCGTGCGCCCGAATCCACGTGCGCAACGGCAAGCAACGAATCGACGTAGGAAGGGGCGGGGAGGGGGGAGGAACACCGCGGGAACATTGGGGGAGGGGTCGGGATCCGTTTACCGGAAGGGAACGAGACCGGCAGCAACAGGGGAAAGAAAGAGGGTGGACCTCTTCGTTGCTATCAAGGGAAAGTAAGCAAAAAGTAGACGGAGAAGCACCAAAAACTGCTTCATACTCACCTCTCCTAGTCCTGATAAGTCTACTTTGTCTAACCCTCGATTTCGCAGTTGTCAGCGGCTACTGACAAAATACAACGACGTTCAAGCACTGCGACGCACACCTAGTTTCCGCACCGGTCAACACATCTCCGGATTGATTTCAAAAAGGGATGGTAGACAGCGGTCGCTGCGTATACAGCACAACGAGCTCGAACTCACTTATGCAGTTCCTGGTGACTGAGGTTCCCGTTGTCGTCCTCGTCCCAACGCTTGAGCAGAAAAGCCGCCGAAGTTTGGCCATCAGCACGTGTCTCGCCGCTCTCGGCGCAAGCCTGCGTGTTGCCCCGGCAGGAAAGGGAAACAAATATACAAGGGGAGGGAAAACACACAGGCCCGATATATACGCGTGAGAGCAACGAAATCCTTGTCATAACAACACGAGAGCGCCTCGAAACGTCGAAACAAGGTTGCGTGGAAGACGGACCATGTACGCGCACAACAACTCGCCTTAAATTCTTGTTCAAGCACGTCTTCCACCCGCATCACCAGCTTGCGGCGAAGCTTGTTCAGTTCCTCGGCCTCTTGTTCCACCTGCGGAGGCATGACCGAGTCGGGGGGGGTGGGGTGCGAGGATACAGCGTATAAGCGGCATACATATCCCGGTGGGTGAGTTGGTGGCATGTTGGTGGAGCGATGCACGTACAGGAGCGCTTTGTCTTTGCGAAACTGTCAAAGACACGGCAACAGCAACAGCAACAGCAACAGCAGCGGGAGAAAATACAAAGAGATTCTCTTCCACTCAACCCGGAGTTATCTCACATCTGCCACGTCCGTGGGCTGCATCATGACGATCGTCGAAAGCAACGCGATCAGCGGGAGTACCCTCCGGTACGCCATGAGCACGCCGGCCAGGATGGGCAGCGGTAGCACGATGATCCACACCCACTCGGTCTCGCTCTTGGAGGCACGGCTGATGAAGTACACAGCGTAGAACGCCAGGTAGTACGAGTTCAGCAGCATCAGGATCTCGACGGCCTGCTTGTACGCTTTGCCGATCGGCAAGACGAACGCATCTCTCATTGTGATCTCCGGGATGTTCGCCCCTCTCATTGGCATCTCCTCTGCAAAGTCCGGCATCGTCGAGCGGATCGCGCTCCTGCCCGCCTCTAACCCCCCGCCACCCTCGCTGCCGTGAACCATCGCCGCTTGATCGGCGTCGACGGCACAAGAATTTCCAGGCGTGTCGGACGTCGCTCCTTCGCCAAGTGCTGACCTCCCGATCCCGTGCATCGATGCCGCGTGCTGCACGTGGGTCCTGGTTGTCCGCGGTGTGGAGATCGGGTCGAGAAGGAAGACAAAGGGGTCGGGGAAGGGGTTGCACTGAAAAGTCGGTCGCGATGTATCTCAAGTGAGGCGAGGGCCGTTCCCGCTTTCCTTCTCGAGGCGTCATTCCTTTCAGGGTTGATTAAGACTTTCCTCACCACTCCATCGTGTTTTCGGGCGAACAACGCCTACATCAGGGGATCCAACATGTCTACCTGAACATATATGACCACTGGAGAAGCGTTTGCTACACAACTCTTCTCACATCGGGGCGACCCAGATCCTCTCGAGGACAGCATCCACCGTTTTCACGGGGTCCTGGGGATCGGCTCCCAGTTTGATGCACACCCTCCTGACCCCCAGCATGCACGCGAAGAGGAGCGACAGCTCCAACAGGCAGAGGACTATCCCGAAGACAAACCACGCCCGGAAGCTCACCGTGCCACTGTAGGTGGGCGCGCGACAGGGGGAGGGGTCGTTGGGTTTGGTTGACAGGGACGTCTGCCGGGTTTTTCTTTTGGCTGGATGTTGAACGGGATACTTGTGGCATGGCAATCGCGCCATTCGATCAGGTTTCTGAGGACAACATGACCTTCGGCATCGCTCCCAGCGGAAGCACAACAGAAAAAATCTCACCTACAACCCCTTCACCCCTCCCAAGACTTACCCGTCGCGAGACAACCCAACCTGCAGACCGTACGAGACCCAGCGGAAAACGAGAAGTGCCAGCCAGCTGGCGAGCGAGACGTTGGCCATGCCGAGAATCTGTCGGTCTGTCACCAAGCACGCGTACCTCGCGAAGTCAAAGTTCGCGTTTTGGCTGCCAAACAAAAAGCAAGGCAGCAAAGGAGGGCAGCAGCAGCAGCAGCAGCAGCAGCAGCAGCAGCAGCAGCAGCAGTCAGGAATGGCGGCCAATTCTGTCAGGAACGACATCCGCATCCGGTAGGCATCGCAACGAATACCAAAAAGAGGACGGGACAGAGCGTCAAAAACAGACTGGAGTACGGGTTTCAGTGGTTTGAAAGCGCAATATCTCTCCGCCAAAGAATCGGGCTCGCAGGCACACAACGCCCAAGCAAGTTGACCGACTGCGGTCACGCAGGAGTCCAGTCACACCCCCGTCCCCTCTCCCCCGCGCCTTGCTCTGTTTCCCCCAGTTTTCCCTTCGATTCTCTTACCGGTGCTGCCTAATGAAGACAGAGCGTGCGAGGTGGTACTGCACGGCGTCAATCCACTTCCAGTTGCTGCCCCAGTGGAACACGTCGAGCGACACCCGACCGAGCCCGAACATGGGGATCGACCACTTGTGCGTGCGCGCGATCATCGCTCTGTAGCCCTCCAGGAGCTTTTCCAGCGGCACGATAGGGGGGGGTAGGGTGGGGGGATGAGGATACCGTAAACACCGGCTGTCGGAATCGTTCGGGGTTCACGTTGGCATTCTCGGACATTCCAATTACAACTCGAAGAGTCCACCACAAATGTTAACCTTCGCTTGGAATGAACCCAGCAGCAGCAACAGCAATGGGGAGCGGCAACAGCGTTCGGGGTGGCAACTGTGAAGGGGATGCTGTACTTCCACCACACAGAGCTAACCACATGGAACACGCGCCTTCATGATTACCTATGCGGCCATTATCCCCCCCCCCCTCGATGTTTGCCATCGGGGTTGGGTTTTCGTCGCTTGGCAACGACGTTGTAAAACAAGCCCCCCCCCCCGGTGTTTGCCATCGGGGTTTGGGTTTTCGTCGCTTGGCAACGACGTTGTAAAACAAGCCAATTCACTTCGTGAACTCGGCAACCAGGTTACCGTTTTTTTTTTTTTACCTCGGTTTTTTTTTTGGCGGTAACCATAATGGTGGTCGAGTAGATCATGTTGTGCGGGGTCGAGAAACCTCACTCCGCGCAACGGGGGATGATCGCACCTCGTTGTGTTAAAATGGTCAAGCTTCCTCGAGGCAGTTACACAGCGCTTACAACTGTCTCTGGAAGTGAAAGCACCAGAAAATAAATTAAGTCATACGTAGCTGACATCCGTACGCAAGGAAGTAAGCACAAGATGCCGAACACCCTTAGCAGGATGCAGCTCACCCTTCATGCGACTCGCCAAATACCTCACGGCGCTTCGCGCTTGGTGATGTGAGAGCCTGGTCCGGTGAGAACCCGGCGTGCTCCGTCCCGGCTTTGTAGGGATGCGAGGTCAATCGTCTAGCGATTACGGCATGCACGACCCATGAGTACCCCCCCCCCCGCAGTCCGGAAGGGAGTAAAAGTAGGGGACACGGAAACTTCGGTGTCAGGAATGCTGTTTGCGGATGATTTTGTTGGTATGTCGGACACCCCTGAGGGACTGCAACTGCAAATTGACGCGGCGAAGAAGTTTACTGATAAGTGGAGATTGTCTGCCAACGTTACGAAGAGTGCCGTCATAGTATGCAACGAGGGCAGGGAGGAACCAGTAGAACATAGATGGAAGTGGGGGATCGAGGAGATTGCAGTAGTGGACCAGTACACATACCTCGGAGTAGAGATCGCAAAAGATTGCTCGTGGAATACACACATGTCCAAGGTAGCGGAAAAGGGCAAAGCACGAGCAGGGAAGCTGCACCCAATACTCGCAAACCGGCACCTTGATACACGCATCAAATTGACGGTTTTGAAGAGCGTAATCGTACCGCCGCTAGAGTACGCCGGAGAAGTATGGGAAGGAAATAAGAAGGTAGTGAAAGAACTCGAGGCGGCGCAGATGAAAGCAGCGAAAATCATCCTAGGATGCTCCAAGCGCACAAGTAATGCAGCAGTCAGGGCAGAATTGGGGATCCAATCCCTACGGTCGGGAAGAGACGTAAGGAAGCTGACATGGCAGTATCGCATGTGCGGGATGGGAGAGGAGAGATTGCCGAGAATAGTATGGGAGGCGAAGTGGGCAAACAAAAAGAGGGGTAGACAACCCACGGAATGGGTCAAGGTTGTAGAGGACGTATGGAAGGGATTTGACATCGACGAAGATGAAACGCTTGAAACGGAGGGTCTACAGGGGTTCAAGAAGAAGATATCTGTTGCTTGTGCCGACAGAGAAGAACAGAATCTAAGGAAAGAATACAAGGATAAGGAGGGTCTAGAAGTGTACGGAATGTTGAAAGAAGGAACAGGGTTCAAGGATTACCTACATGGACCAATGGATGCAGGGACAAAGCTTAAGGTCAAATTCAGGACCGGGGACATAGGCCTTCGCGAACGTCGACGAAGACATAGGACGGTAGACGACGAAGACGACAAGTTCAAATGTGATTGCGGCTTCGAATGCGAAGACAGTGTTCATGTAGTCGCGGAATGTCCGTGGTACGAAAAGGAGAGGGAATTGTTCATGACTGAGCTGGGAAAAATACAAGGGACGTACAGGGAGATGTTTGAGGCATGTAATAGGGAGGAGAGGACGGTAGCGGTACTGGGGAGTAGAAAGTGGTTTGAAAAGGCGGGAAGGGACATCGGTAGGATAGACAAACTAGGGAAGACATTTTTGAGCCACCTTTGGCAAAGTAGGAAGGAACGATTGGCCATCGGTGGTCGGTCCTGTGGGAACAATGCTTCGTCCTCTCGAGGACGCGTGGTCAATGGTCTAACCGCTAAGGCATGCAAAACATAAGAGTACGCCCCCCCCCCCGATGGTTTGCTATCGGGGTTGGGTTTTCGTCGCTTGGCAACGACGTTGTAAAACAAGCTTCCCCCCCCGGTGTTTGCCATCGGGATTGGGTTTTCGTCGCTTGGCAGCGATGTTGTAAAACAAGCCGATCACTTCGTGAGCTCGGCAACCAGGTTACCGCTCTTTTTTTGCCTTTGTTTTTACTGCGGTATGTAACCATGAATGTTGGTCTAGTAGATCATGTTGTGCGGGGTCGACAATCCTCACTCCGCGCAAGGGGGATGATCGCACCACGTTGTGTTAAAATGGTCGAACATCCTCGAGGCAGGTACACAGTGCCTATAACGGTCTCTGGAAGTGAAAGCACCAGAAAATAAATTAAGTCATACGCAGCTGTCATCCGTACGCAAAGAAGAAAGCACAAGATGCCGAACACCCTTAGTAGGATGCAGCGCACCCTTCATGCGACTCGCCGAATACCTCACGGCGCTTCGCGCTTGGTGATGTGAGAGCCTGGTCCGGTGAGAACCCGGCGTGCTCCTTCCCGGCTTTGTATGGATACGAGGTCAATGGTCTAACGACTACAGCATGCACGACCATGAGTACACCCCCCACCCACCCCCTTCTCTCTCTTTGTGCATATGCACAGTAGTGTATGTTCCGCGTACCTCCTCCTTGCTTTTGTACGCTGCAATATCCCACCGACGCTTGATGGGATAGGTGGAGGCGCCCAGCATTACCAGCTGCAGCACCGTGAAGATGGCGATGAAGAAAATCACGTAGTGGGAGAACTGCATGGACCGAGTCAAATCGCACGAACGGGCGCAAAGTTGCAGCATGACTCGAAATTTTCGGGGATGGGCGGTTGGGGTAGGTGTGGGGGGGGGGCGAAGTTCAAAAAGCGTCCAAAACACCCACCTGCCCAAGCTTCTAGCTGAGAATTCGACGAAAAGAAGTATGAGGGCAAGGCGAGGGCGTGTTCGCCCGGGGAGGGAGCGACTACCACAGCCGCTTCACACCTTCTCCGGCTAATTGTGAACGAACTACTAATCTGTCCTACAGCTCTCCCCCTGTAAGCTTTGACTTACAGACATGAGTGTGCTTTTTTGCCCCACCCAGCAAAACAGTTTCCGGACCATGGCGCAACGCGGGATTGGAGCCTTGCCGCATGATTGGTTGAGTAATCAGCACAAAACGTTTGTACTTCTAATCCCTTCCTGGACGCTCACCTCGAAGACGAGAAACAGGTCCCCCTCCTCCACCACCGGGTGCAGAAGGTAAAGCGCGAAGCTCACCACCCCTGCTTGCACGGAACAACGCGCGGGCAGTTAATTGAGTTGTGTCTGGGGTTCTGTTTGGTCACGCGCATGACACAACACACTCGCGAGTAGTGGGATGGGGATGGGCGGTAGGCTATTCCACGTGCAGGGTCCTCGTCAGCCATCAAAGAGAGAGAGAGACAGAGAGAGAGAGAAAGAGACAGAAGGAGAGAGAGAGAGAGAGAAGGACGAGCCGTATCCGTGTCTATCCATACCTCACCCCTCCCTCCTCCTTCTCCACAGCGTTGATCACATCGCATTTACCGCTATTTCGCTACGTCGTTCGAACGGCTGAAAACCATGCTCGATTTCTCGTTCTGCCGCCCTCGAACTCGACAGCAACCTATTGAAAACTGAAATGAACCATGAACACGACACAAACATGGCTTTGTTGGTACAACTGTTCCTCTCAAAAGCTCTCGTCTTCTTGCACCTTTCACGCAGTCTACCTCGGGAACGACTCCGAACCACCTGTATCGGTCTTCGAGAAACGTTGCAGTTGACATCAAGGTGCCTGCAGACTTCCTACCCCTACTCGCAGGGTCGACGAGGTTTGCTTCTTACTTTTGAGCAAAAATTCGAAAACTGTCTGCAAGATCGGCCTAAGATGAGCACTTCCGTGTACTTCCAATAAAAGACGCAACAGGTGGTCTGGAGAGAAGCAGACTGTCACCAAAACGTCGAAAAATACAAAGACTTGCCGCCGAGGGAGATTTCTTCAACAATACCTATGTATTAACAACATTCATGCCGCTTAGCACGAAGCATGGGTCCAATGTAAATGAGGGTTGGCGCTCGCAAAGGCGGCACCCAGCACCGTGCATGACCTGGGAGTCAGTTCCCCACTCTAACGTTAAATATTCTATCTACTATAAAACTTTCTAGGGCGATGACTCCTCCCTCGATATCCGACGCCCCAATCAGGGCATCAAGTCGAATTCTATCATGCGCAATGAACGATTGGCCGTTCAAAGCGGCACCTAAAGCTTCACAAGCATCTTTCCACATGCTATGTCCGACGAATACTTCAAAGAACACGACGGGCAACAGTGAAGGACCGCCAGACTCACCGAGTGTCATGAGCTCTCGCACGATTTTCTCATACAGAGTGCTCTGAAACGTGTCTCCCTCGCTCTTCAGCCATTGCTCGTACTTGCTCAACGCGAGCTCGATCACCTGTGGGAGGTGTGGATACAGCGAAGCACGACTTCATTATTCATTGAACCTTCGAACGATAACCACGCATGCTGGTGGGACCTGTATCTTCCCACACACACACATAAAATAAAATCTGATGATGCCTCTCCGTCTCAAACAAGCGATACGCACGTGAGAAAACATCACCGCACATGACCTCTCCAACGCATCATTACCATAAGTTCCCAACATCGCCGAGAAGACAGAAAGAGAGACATGAGCTGATATTGAACTGGTGTTGGTCGGTGCACCCCCCCCGTCCTCTCTCTCTGTTCTGTCAGCTGTCTTCGTGCCTTCGTATTTATGTGTTCCTTTCCTCTTTAGGATGAATGACGTTCAGTGTTTGTGAGAGTCGCGAGCCCTTCAGCCGGGGGGAGAGCCCATCGATCGACCACAGAACCGCAGCCTGCCGTGTCAACGTGCATGGCGTGTGTGTGCCGCACAAGGGGCCACTCAAGCACAGTGGCAGACGTTGACAGCCCTCCTAGGTTGTTCTACTGTGGACCATAAAACCTTGCATGTCTTCTTTGGAGTCCCGGCTTATTTGTGCTCAAGGCAAAGGTGGTGCAATGCAGTCACATTGTTGGGAACATAGCGCCAAAAGAGGCATGGCCGAGGTGATTCGTAGGCCTCGGTTGTCGTCTCCTTGTCACCCGGCTCTGAGTAGTTTTCTGCCTGGGAGGGTACGCGGAGGTTGGAGGGGGTGGTTCTGATAGGCTGTGGCGTCCGGAGAAGGGGAAGCAGCGTGGGAGGCATTCGTTGCCATGACCTCTACAATCGCCGGATTCAGGGCTAACACTAATGATGGTGAGCCTTGAAGGGGCATGCATATGCCTGCGAGCATACGCCGGGCATCGTGGGGGAGGGGGCGTACTCATAGTCGTGCATGCCGTAGTCGTTAGACCATTGACCTCGCATCCCTACAAAGCCGGGACGGAGCACACCGGGTTCTCACCGGATCAGGCTCTCACATCACCAAGCGCGAAGCGCCGTGACGTATTCGGCGAGTCGCATGAAGGGTGCGCTGCATCCTGCTAAGGGTGTTCGGCATCTTGTGCTTACTTCCTTGCGTACGGATGACAGCTGCGTATGACTTAATCTATTTTCTGGTGCTTTCACTTCCAGAGACAGCAGTTGTAAGCACTGTGTAACTGCCTCGAGGATGCTCGACCATTTTAACACAACGTGGTGCGATCATCCCCCTTGCGCGGAGTGGGGGTTCGCCACCCCGCACAACATGATCTACTCGACCACCATTTTGGTTACCGCCAAAAAAAAAACAGAGGACACAAAAGACGGTAACCTGGTTGCCGCGTTCACGAAGTGAATTGGCTTGTTTTACAACGTCGTTGGCAAGCGACGAAAACCCAATCCCGATGGCAAACACCGAAGGGGGGTATCTTTGGGGAGGGTTGCGAAAACGAAAAACGTCAATGCAGCGCAAGCCACGGAACAAAACATCGCAGGGCCCACATGTACACGGTAGGTACCCGCAGGCCTAACTCACGATGGCGCAGCCACCGACGATGCTGACCAGGACGACGAAGGTATCGTAGTCGAAATACTCCCCCAAGGCGAACACGCTGGGCTCGTCGTGGTCACTGGCGTGGTCACTGGTGTGGTGACTGGTGTGGTGACTGGTGTGGTCGCTGGTGTGGTCACTGGCATGGTCGCTGGCGTGGTCGCTGCTGGGTGGACCAAGACAATAACCCGAAAGCGGACAGCATCAGAGGCTTGCTTCTCAACTACGTAGTGCAGAGAACGTACCTCGAAATAGTTAAGAATCGACACGCGCGCGCACAGAGAGTGCACAGATAACAACTGTGGCTGGCAGCTTTCTCGGGGCACGAAGTTCAGGTGTTAAGTCACTTCCCTGCGTGGAAGTCTTTTCCACGCCTGTGTTAGAATAGGTAAGGGTGCACAGTAAGCCGGTTGGTGTCTCACCGAGTTGTAACCCCTTTAGGACGCGGAGGAAATCCGCGTTCTTGCGAAATTTCTGGAACACAAAAAGAAAAAAAGAGCTCCTGCTGATTGGATGATGCAGTCAGTTCCAGCCTTGGGTGCAAGTGCAAAGCTACCTCCCCGCCTGAGCCGTCTCTTGTCTAATAGCCCTATCAAACTAAATCGAGGGGCCGTTTGATAGGGATGATGGACAACAACTGGGGATAGAGTTGTACACGGGCCGCACGAAAAGGAGGATTTCAATATTTCCCCTTGTAGAGAGAAAGCGAGACCTTGTAACCTCTAACGTCTAGGTTGCCCGGTGCCTCCTTTCAGCGGTGGGTGAGGTGTTTCTTCCGCGCTTGCGCCTAGTAGCGCTTTCCACCTCAAGAAATGATAGATGCGGCGCAACTTCGCTCTGCGCGATCAGCCAGTGATTCTCCTTGCCACTGCTGTTACTTAAGGAAAAATAAATACACGCACAGAAATACTACTCATTCGAGATATACCCACAGTCGAACGGGATGTGGTGGAGTCTTTTCAGTGAGTGGAGAAAAACCGGCTGGGTACTGGACTTATTTCGAGTCTTTTTAAGTCTATACACTGATGATTTTTATATGTAAGCTGGTAATAAGTACAAAAACATCTGTATAGACCATGTTTATGGTTTCCAAATCTTTATCTTCATTTCTTTGGACAAATGCTGACTATTTCGACCTTTCGGGCAGTCTGCCTCCCGAATGAACGCGAATCAGCTGTTCGACCTTTGAGAATAGTCACAGTTTTGCCTGAGATGTATACAGGCCGCCTATTTGTTTTGCCAGGGTCCACGTTTGATTTTTTTCCAGCAGTTCAAGATGTGCAAGATTCGGCCCAAAGACCACCTCGGAGCAAATGTTGGGCCAAGATCTGTCCAAAAGCTGGTGTTGGAAAAATCTTGCGTGAAAATTGCGCATCTTGAAAAAATCAAACGTGGACCCTGGCAAAACAAATAGGCGGCCTGTATACATCTCAGGCAAAGCTGTGACTATTCTCAAAGGTCGAACAGCTGATTCGCATTCATTCGGGAGGCAGACTGCCCAAAAGGTCGAAAAAGTCAACATTTGTCCAAAGAAATGAAGATAAAGATTTGGAAACCATAAACATGGGCCATAGGTAACTTACATTTTACAATACATATCCCCTGTAGTTCTCTACTGGGTCAACGACAAAATATCGGGGAGAATCCCTCCGTTGTGTCGTGTATTGTAAAATGTAACCTTCACAGGGGACACGGAGCAGTGTCTATTGACAGCTTGCTGGTTTGTCAGATTTTAAAAATAATACCTCTTGCTCTACCCCCTCTACAAGGCATCCACACTCCTTTCCAGCATTGTACCCCGGCACTCCTTGTCGAGGAGTTCAAAGGTGGAGACACCCATGCCAAATGTTCACGAGCTAAAACAGGTGAAGAACATGGGGCCAAAAAGTGGTCCCATAAGTCGATCTGCCCCTCAAGGTCGTCTACAAACCTTACACCCTCATCGTTATCGTGGTAGATATTGTAGATGCTGCGGATTGTTCACCTACGTACAATATGTATGGAACCTCACCAACGCAAGTTGGTGCACACCAAAATGTCTCCCCTTGCCAATGTAAACAAGGCATCTGCTTCGCTAGAGGGTGAAACGTACATCCCTCGTCACCAGAGGTCATGCTGAGTGTAGACCAAAAGGCCGTGTATAGGGTGGGCGGGACGTACAATAATGTGCATTTGCAATTCGACACCGTAATACATGAAGCCAGACACACCTGGTTTCTCCTTCGGCAGCGAAGGCCGTCCGCGAGAGTAGAAGCAATGGAAACAGCAGTAAGAGCTTCATAGATGCGCTCCAGGCTCCAGGTGATATCGCAGGTCGCAAGTGTCGCTACGGGCTACGGGCTGCGGGGAGGTGTGCCGTGACACTGGAAAGCGGCGCAACCCTCCTCCCTCTCCTCTCTCCTCCCTCCTCCCTTCTGCTTTTTTTTTTTCTGCGGGGTAATGTCAATCGTTCCGCCCCACTACCCCCCGCACCCCCGGCGGCGGCCTGTACCCAGTACCGTCCCGCGTCGCTCTCTGCCTCTGTCACGCACCAAAACAGACGCATCACGTAATGAGGACCTGCACGAGATGTTCGCTTGGAAAGCTACTTTTTTCTTGAGTGGAGGGAGAACAAAAAGGTCAGCTCGGTGTGCAGGATGTACGGTACCGCCGTGCTGCTGTACTACATACAGCTGCTGCTGTATACAGCAGTATGCATAGAGTGGGTAGACTACTGTACTGTTGTACGTTACGGGAATGGACAAGAGAGAGACAGCACAGCAACAGTGGCCATGGGAGACACCACACAAGCACACTGCCTTGCGAAGATCAAAAGAGCGCGCGACACACAAATACCCGAACATGCACGGAGCCATCAGAGCATGCAGTCGGTGAGACCCCGCCGACGTTACTGTAGACTATCTATACTTACTTCTCGCACCCAATCCTCTGTTTGCATGATGATGATGATCGCGTCATTTATTTTGTGTGTGCGTGTTTGTCCCATTTATTTTGGCGCCAGTCTACGCACGTTTGGTGTTGTATGTATTTGACGTATCAGCCGGGCTCAGACATACCGTGAGAAAAGGTTAGACCACCACCAATACTTTAATCAGCCTTTCTTTCTTTTTGGTTCTTCTTCGGCCGCCCGCCCGCCCTTTCCCTCGTCGACATTCATGTCGGAGTGTTTATAATGAGCCGCGGAGCGCGAAGCGCGACCTTTTTTCCCTTCATCTCCCAGAAGGGAAAAAAGGCTCTAAATACCGGGAGCAAAGTTTGATTTCCGTGAAGCATATTTATCGCACCTACCTACCTTTCGGACCAGAACGAGACCTATAGGGCACCGTTTGACGATCTGTTCACTTCTTCTGCGGAAGAAGAAAAATTACGCGCTCTTCGTCACACCGGTTTGGTCGTGCTTCGGCAAAAGATGGCCGTGCTTCACAGGCATATGTGACCCAAATTCGTTGGAGATCGCATCCCGGCATGCCCAGGAGTTGTGGAGAGTTAATGCCCAAGCTATCGGAGATTGCACAGACACGCGGTAGAGTTCAAACCCCGGGAGGACAACACCACATCTGCAGAAGGAGAATAACAGGACGCTGATCCGAGACCAGCTTTCTATGAAAACCAGGAGGGGCCAGGCCTATACGACCTGTGCGCCGTGGGTATGGTCATGCGCCGTGTGTAACCTGGTGGGTGTTTATTGATGTTGAGTGTTGCAACCGACTGCTCCCAAACAACAGCAAACCGATTATCACAAATGAACAACACACAACAAACACACCTTCCTAAGTCCAGAGATCGCACCTGCCATAGAGAGAATCCGTCGAGGGCGTGAGGGCTACTGCTTCTGTGCGTTATCAGGATGGTTCCCCGCGGGATCGGTTCAGGTTGCGTACTTGCGCCGCGCTACTGACTGTCTTCGTCAAATCCGTGCCCTGCCTGCTGTTGCTGCTCGCATCAAAGTCATGACCATCATCAACGGCTTCGTTCGTTGTTTTTGTCCCGTGATGTTGCGTGATGCATAGATAGTACATTATGTAGACTGCTTGCTTTCACGTGGCGAGAAACTCGGAAGGCTTGAGACTACAGTAATGTGGCGGGTAAGTTGTGAGCCTGACGCAATATTTGCCATCTGCCTTGTCACAATCCTATGTCTACGCTGCTGGTCGTGCTCCTCGACGGTGTGATGTGTGATACGCTCGCCGCCAAGGTACATGCCGCATGCGTGCCTCTTCCAGATGCCCTGATGTGCGTCCGCACAGACAGCGGGAAGACTTCACATTTTGTTTCTTCGCGGATGTGTGCATGTGCATCAACGGAAAAGAAACAACCGCATGTAAAGTTCAAAATTTTGAACGGGGCCGCACATACAACCATCGTCGAGCCTGTCCCTCTGGTGCACGCGTAGCTGCACCACAAACGATTCACGCTGCTGTGTGTCGGGATTCGTGAACATCAGGATCGCAGATAAGACTACTGCAAGGTATTCAGTCGCTACCCAGCGGCTCATTACCCCGCCCTATCTAGCACTCGCGAGTTTAATCGATTTCATCTGCCATTTGTCGGCAAAGAAAGCCTCCAGAGAGAGATTCGAATCCACGACCTGATGGCTTGGCGAGCTTACTACCCTTACAATCTCAAAGAATGCCCAGGACGTCTTGTTCTTTTACGGAACGAAGCGCAACTCGATAGCTTTTCCAATATCACATCCCAATCACCTAACTAGGTGCTTCCTCCGGGCTCAGGCGCGTTCTTCGTCCATATTTACCGGCACAGGTGTACCCTTTGTGATTATGTCCCCGGATTTTTTCTCCACTGGCATTATTTAACGTCTCAAGTATTTCGTGTTTGCGCCCCACCGCAACCACTCAGGCATGCAGGCAGGCTCTTACCGGCGGGAAGAATACGCCACTGATGACACCAACTCCTGCAACATAAAGGTCTTCAACAGAGGGTCAGCAGCAGCAGCAGCCGCACCACCACCACCACCAGACATTGTCCCGGCTTTCGCCCGATCTTGAGCATGAAAGTTACCTCCCAGATAATTATGTATGGACGACTTGGATCGGGTCGGGTCGGACATCGTTGAGCTTCCCCCTCTCCATGGGACACTGCTGCAAGTGGCAGAGACATCGTGCGATTGACGTTGGACAAGGGACTCGATAAGGATGCGTTGGGTGGCGCAGCACGCCGCTTCATCAAGCAGCCATTGTTGGTCACATGGCTATGACCCAAGCCCTCCTACAGTAGCTGCTAGTGAATGCCAATCTCCGACTAAGCTACATGTGGGCTCTCGATGTAGGGGCATGTGGATGTGGCGACGGCGATCTTGGAGGAGAGTGGGGCAGATGCGAGGGTTGTCGTCACAGGCGGATCCCCCCCTCTCCACGTTGCCGCGCGGGCAGAGCGGAGGTGGTGCAGCCGTTGGTGGCGAGACAAGCTGGGCGAAGAGGGTTGGACGCCATTCCACGTGGCTACCATGATAGCCCTCTTGGCTGCCGGAGCAGACGTTACCCTGTGACGAGGTGGGAACGGTTTGGCGGCGCTAAGCATGGATGCCAGAAACACGCAAAACGAAAAAAAAATCATGTCGGCGATCATCGAGCACGTCGTAGACGTGAATGCTGCAGAAGCGGTGTTGGCTTACACCCCCTTCATGTTGCCGCGACTTGATACAACCCGGGCGGTGGGCATGCTTGCCGAGGCTGGTGCCAACCTTGAGCCAGAGGAGACCAGAAACGGCAACCACGCATCCGTTCATCTCGCTGCCACCGTGAAGAGTACTGCGGACGCGTAGTGTTGAAGCATGGCGCAAGCCTAGGCAAACGTAATGCGCAAGGACATCACCGTGCTGCAGCTACTGTTGGGCAGGGACTACCGGAACTGCTGAGAAGTGAACCGACGAAAAGGCTGTCGCTAACAAGGGCTGAACAGCGACGAATATCGTAGGGTTTCTAGCTGAAGAGAAGAGCAGCATGAAATAGGATGTTGAGCGCGTGAGAAAGCTGGTGGCGGATGCTCAGGCCGACCGGGCATTGCGTCGGCGAGGTTTTATTTGTTGTGCATTTTTCGTTCCCCCAGCCCGGTCCGGTGAGAACCCGGCGTGCTCCGTCCCGGCTTTTTAGGGATGCGAGGTCAATGGTCTAACGACTAGGGTAGAGCTGAGGCATGGGAACAACCTCATCCAGCTGGTGTAGCTGTTGGTGGGCGAAGCAATTCAGAGGTGGGGATGACAGCAGAAAGTACAAGGAGGGCAACCCAGGGCTTCCATTGAAGCAATTGTCACGTGTGCACTTACAACAGGCAAGAGTGGCGGCCGCACCCCGCCTCCGCAATGAATCGTGGTGACCAATAAACGTCAACGGATTTTGTGCAACATGCACCTTTTGTGGTTTCACTTAACAAGGCGTCCCTCACGTTTACCTACCCTCAGGTCCCGTCTCCACTGCATGAGAACATGCATCCGATTCAGAACTCAAGGCCCGTTTTCTCGCACCACGTGAACTTCCATGCACGGGCACATTTTCTGAGATACGCGTTGCGACCCATTCAAGTCCGATTGGCCATGGCTTCCTCCTGGCTGTTGCACGTTGTGCTGTTCAATCTCTATACATGTATCCCGTAGTTGTCTAGCCCCCCTCACGAACACACTAACAGTTTGCGTCGGCGCTCGGGTCTAAGTCACAGACAGATTTCTACGTAATTGAGTCTCTCTCCCCCTTCCCAGCTACCGCCTAACACACCCTCGTCTCCCACGCTATCAGCCTTCACCCCCCTGTATATGCCCATTCTGGAAAAATGCTCGCTTAATACACGTCGGGGTGGGCATGTACACATGGGTGAATGGCACACATCACGTATCTTGCACTTGATCTACGAGCGGGGCGGCGAAGCCGAAATACCTTGTAAACATACTACTAGGCTCTCGCGAGAGCAACACAAAATCGTATCGGGACGGTGATTGGGTGTGCTGCAAGAGGCCGGACAGATTTCTGCAGACAAGCGTCACGTCGAGACACGACCGCACAATTCATATGTCGTGTATCCCCTCCAACGATGGGCACGGGTAGCCCGTTCTCTGGAAAAGGTAGAGAATCTCCACGTCCTTCGTGAGCGGAATCACCGTGTCCCGGTAGATGTCAACGATGAACTGCGGGTTGACCTTGAAGTTTTGCTCCGCCTTGGCTGCGCCGTCACCGCCCTTCGCGTCCTCGGTTGAGACGGGCACGTCGTTGATGTCGCTGCCGTACGTAGACGCCTTCATGAAGGCCCGCTTAAGCACCTTTTCCTCCACGGCCTTGTTGGTCAGTAGCTCCAACACACCGCGCGCGTCTCCCGCCCGGCAAAGGTCCTGGTAAGTTTTGCTGTCCTCCTGCACACATCAGGTGCCCATGAATCAAACAGAAACAGAAAAAAAAGGCTGAAATATTGTTCGCGCGTACGACGCGGGTTTACTCACAGAAGGTGAATTCATGAACGAAGGTCCCCCGGGCCCCCGGGCCTCATGTATCAACGAGCCAAACTTTCATTAAAATAGCACGAGCAAGGAAAATTGCAAAAAAACGTCCTACACCTACGTTTCCGGGGGCTTCACCGGACGCACGCGGTGCCCCTATTGTACAAAGCACCTTGAATATGGTGCAGTTAATCGTGGAGAAAATCTACCACTGACGGGGAACATGACTCACGTGACAAGCATGGGGGGCAACACCACACGCCCTTCCGCAAGACTAGACCATGTTCATGCCCCCGCCCAACTTTGAACGTTCACCTGAAACTTGCTCTCGGCGACGAACTTGCCGAGATGAACCCTACGACTGAGAGCCTGCAGCGCGTTGACGTCACACACGACGGACGAGCCGTGCTGGTCGTCGTCTCCCGGCTCGCAAATCATCGGGACGATCTCCGACACGTACCTAGAAGAACCGCATGTGTTGGGGACATGATCCAATGTGTCGTACGCACGGCAAAATGTTAGGTGCGCATTGTTTGTTTTGCACTTGTCGCGCGTTTCATGTCGCGCAAGTTTTTTCTTTGCCAGAGGAGCGCGCACCGCTATTGATAGCTGCGGTAGCTTGTGAGGGTTCCAATCGGGCGCCGTTAGCTCGGCTACCTTCACAAGCTTGCTGGCGAATCGTTTCTCGTCCTGATTGGTATTATTGTGTCCGGCCGTGTAAAGCGTAACAACGAGACTGGTCTGTTCGATTTTTGCTATCCAACATATGAAGAAGATCTTGTGTCAACATGACGACGGCATATCAGCACTCCTTGGTTGTGCAGGCCGCGTTTCGGTTCATTATTGAAATAACTTCTTATACCCAGGCCCCAGAAAGTCTCCCTACTCTACACTCTACACAAGCTAGCTACATAGCTACGTCTGGTGCCACACCCACGTGCGCTTACGTAACCAACTCACCGCTTGAGAATCTGGTCGTTTACGTTGACGTCGTTTGGTGCCAGTAGTCGAGGGAAGTCAAGTGGCGGCAAAATCGGCTCGGGCAGAAACATCGGGAAAAAGGCAAGCTCTTCGAGGCTCATGTAACGCCTCACTGGTAGAAGGACACAATGCGAGCGAGCGTTGGCGTTTCCGTTCAGGGGTTGTATGTAGTCTGAGATATGCAGAGCAATTGACGCATTGAAAAGTGACGCTATTTCCTGGCAAGTGTGCTTCACGAGGTCGACGGTCCGGAGGGGAGAGAGCCGGCGACATTCGAAGCTTGGTTGCCTTGACGGCGCGTACCACCGGGTTCATCAGTGTTTGAAAATGGTATCGACGCTCTCAGCTTGCGGACCCAAGGACTCCAATTCCTGTTTACCCTTTAGTAAGGAGCGTGCACACATAGAGAGACAAGCGACCAAAACTAGAGCATACCCCTACACCTAAAAAAAAAAGAAAACGTACATGACGTGTATGCATATATACCTGTCGCGTGCAGTTTCTCCGTCTCACTCAACATGTACTCCAAGAAGCTCGCATCTCGGCCGTAGATGTCCGCTGCATCACTGCGGTTCACCCGGAAGGTCCGATCAGTGTAGATGGCATTGTTGCAGCGGAATTGCTCCCTCTCGATCAGCGCAAAAATAATCGTCTCCTCCTGTCGGATCAGCGACCCCCGCACGCTTTCTAGACTCCGTGTTGGTTGTCTATTTCTTGCGTCTGCAGTGGTGGCAGCAGCTGTGGCTGCTGCGGCCCTGTCCTTTGCAGCTGCGGCTCGTACCCTATTAGTCCTACCGCCGTTGTTAGCGTTGCTACCGCTATTGTTCAAAGCAGCAATATCTGGTGACAACGACGACGATGGCTCTTCCTCGAGGTCCTCGCTCGACTCCGGTTGAAGCACGTCCACACCGTTCACGCCCAACATGTCCTGGCGCCCGGCTGCTATGCCCGTCACGCCTCCACCTGCTGCAGCCCCCGCAGCGCCTGCTGACGGGACTACCGTAGTGGGGAAGCCGGTTCGTCGGACCACTGCCGGCGACATGGTATAGAAGGACATGGCGGGATGCAGGGTGACTGCAAGAAGAGTCACCGTACGCCAGTCTGGCCTCGGGCGTAGAGCTGGTCGCGCCATTTGACATGCACACACGTGAGCACGCGCGGCACAAGCCGACCTTGAGCCGACACGTCGGGGGGCACGCGCCTGGCAGTGGCCCTCTCTGTCGGGACCCTGCGGAAAAATATTCAAATGTTCAAAATAAAATTAGTTCAAATGATTCCATTCGGTGGAAGTCACGCCGCCAAACGCCAAACCGCGTGTGTGTCTTTACGTCTACGCATGTGTGGGAAACAACTGGACAGGGGTCTGCGAAAGCGGATTCGCCCAGGCCGCAAGAGACCGAGGCATGTGTGTTTGTATGTTTTTGTTCGCATGTCGGTGAAAGGCTGGCTGCGCATATACACACACCACTGCTGTAGAGCAGAAGGGTCCAATCAACATGGGTCTAGACTGGTACTACGTACTTGCTTGATGTCACCGCGGGGTTGGTTTGCAATGATATCTGGTGTCTCTCTGTAGGTGAGGGCGAAGACAGGTCGTCCCCGTCCGTCTCGAGCTTGGGAACAGACTATGGGGGCTCTGTAATAATGTTTGACGCCGGTACTATCCCGTTTCGCCGGGGGCGGGAAATACTCCAAATGCATGAATAATGTTCTCAGAGTCATCGTATTTTGAAGTACAGCAGTAGTAGTAGTGTTGTAGTGGAGCTGCCACCATACAGTATTCCCCTATCACGGGTGTCTGTGTACAAGTAAGTGACAGCGCTCTATAAAATCGGCCTAGAAGTGAGACATAGACCAGCAGCTTATGATTCAGAAGGAAACTCATCAGCCCTAGCATCGTCTTCTCAAGTCAATCGTGAAGGTGAATATCCGAGTTGGGGAGTTCGACGTCTCGCCAACTGCATGAAAAAAAAACACAATGATCGTTGTTTTCAAGTTCAGAAACCTTCAAAGAGTGCCACAACCAGCATCCCCAACAGGCCAATCAGCGTTAAGGAAATTGACCCCCCAAACCCGAAGCGGTTTTTGGTTCGAATCGGGCATAGTCTACACCACCTTTCGCCACATGCTTTGGGACACACCGTTCAAAAGCAGTGGAGAGACAATTTTCAGCTAGAGATCGAACCACCGATCAAGGGTGGCGCGCTGAGATACATGGCACATGGCGACAGCGGGAACAACGTTGCCAAAACCCAAAAATACAGCAGTAGCAGCAAACACCAAAAACACACAACAGACCCTATCCAACAGAGACAGGTGCCACCCAACCCTCAAGCCAATCGCCGACGAAAATCAGTGCGCCCGCCGCCCCCCAACCACAATGACTGCGACGCTCAAGATTCTCACAACTCATGGAACGGCACACGCACGACGAGTTAACCGTACCAAGAGAACTTCAGAGCTTAAATCAATATCAAGACAAAATTCGAGGGCGCGTTTGAAAGACAGGCCCGACATCGACGATGTGGGGAATATTCTTCCCGAGCGACTCTTGAAACACCAAGAACAGACAGTGGACACACCGGCGTGTGCAATTCTCGATTACGACCGTTACAACTTTAAAATAAGTGCGCGGTGCAGCACCATGGGCAACGAGAACACAGGGCGGGCCGCTACCAACAAACAGCCGAGAAGCCAAAACAGGCCCTCACGCCAAGTGCAACTACTGTGATTTGATCAGGCTCGCCTTGGTACGGCGCATACTGCCTCCGCACGTACGCCAAGCCAAGCAAACACTCCCCACCTGTCGAATCTCGACCAAACGCGAAGGCCACTCAAGACGACTCTTTGCCTGGTCCGTCGAAACTCGAACCCTTCACCCCCCATGGGCTGCGACCCAACTTCTTACCGAAGGATACCACCAATCAACCCGCCCTCCCCTACCCACGTCCTCCCTCCGCCGAAAAATACACATGGCTAGGCAGAGAAGGGTAGAGAGAGACCAAGATGCAGCAGTCTAGCAGCTCAGCACCGCCGGCTCTGCTGGCTTCCCGCTCTGAATCCTCCTGGAGAAGGCGGGGCCGGCGGCCGACATCAATGCCCCCGCGGCCGCCGCCGCCGCCGCCCGCCCGAGCGCACCGGCGGCCTTGTCTCCGACGTCACCGGCGAGCGCGCTGGACTCGTCCGCGACGAGCGCGGCGGCCATCGTCCCGAGCGCCGCCGCCACCAGCGCCAGGTGGGCGGACCGAACCTTGGCAGGGCAGCACTTCCCCACGAGCATCGCGCTCCCCGCGTAGGCGATCGCCAGCGCGCCCCCTGCTCTGAGGAGGAGCAGGGCGGCCGGGTCGGCGCCGAACGGCGTCATCTCCGGGGCGGCGACGAGGAACGCGCCCCCGGCCGCCGAGGCGAGCGGCAGGGCGAAGAAGAACGTGACGTGGGTGGCGGCGACGACGCAGGCCGCCAAGCTGACGGCGAGGAAGGCCAGGACCGACAGGGACGCGACGAACACGACCGCGGGCGAGATGCCCACGAAGTAGCGGCTCTTGGTGGAGGAGGTGCACTTGTCCATGTCGAGAAGGGACTCCGCGCACGCTTTTCCTGTGGGGCAAGCCATGATGTGTGGTGGTGGTCTTCCTCTGGTTCTCTGCGGAGTCGAGGGGGGGAGAACGGGGGGGACGGGAGGCGGGGGTGGAGGAGGGAAATAAGACAAGGCGTTGCACATCATTGCTGAAATTGTCCACGCTGTCTCTGGTAATCACCCAGAGTGTACAACAACGCGGCAAACATAGCTCTTCTGGTATTCGTTACAGTGCCTTACCGGGAACATTTTGTCTTGGATTTCCCTTATATTTCCAGGTTGAACTATTATATGGAGTATTATTTAGTGTCACTTGCGTGTGTGGCGGCCTATCGCCTTCTTTAGCTATACCACTGACCACCCGAGGGCATCTCTGGCGACACATTTTGGTTACTTCATTGCTACCGTCCCATTTCGTTACCGAATCCTCAAACCAATTTAACCCGGGCAGCGTTCGCAGACATGACGACACGGGGTATGTGCGGTCGGATGGTGCCACAAGAACACGGGAGAGCTCGTTGAGTTTGTCAGTGAGCCAGCCCAACAGCCGGCCAAACATACCTGCGCCCTTCGTAACAGAGGTGCTAACCTTACAGGGCACGGCTACTTTATTTGCACTTTCACTTGGTGCTACAGCAGTAGTTGTGCCAGGAAAAATGGCCGGCGATATGCTGGGTGTAGGAACAATACACTCAACCTCAATGGGTACTGCTGATTTTCCTTGGCGAGAAGATGGGCCGCTTGTATCAAGACTGGCAGATCGGACGCCATGTCGGTGGCAGCCTTGCCGCCGCTGGGTACACAAACAAAAGCTCTTTGTGCTGTGGTCCCGTCCGGTACCCCACCATATGGGAACCGATATGGTACCTCGTACCCCTCACATACGTCGTAAATCCGACAAGCGTGAAACATTCAGAGAGTGTGGTGATACAGAAGTATGTATGCGGGGGCATGTTGCGTCAAGTACGACATTTTTCATCTGGTACCACCAAAAGCGGAAAAAATGACCCTACTTTTTGGCCGAGGTCATGAGGCACGTTGTGCACCATCCTCGAATAAATCAAGTCCAACGACTACCACATGGGGGTACATGTGGACACCCGTTAGATAAGAGGGTTCCGGTTATCACGTTGCGAGCGTATAGAGCGTGAGAACGCGTTCATCGAAAGGCGCATACGAGGGTTAAGATGTCGGGTTAGTTTTTTTCGACATGAAATCGCACGTTACACCATATTGCCAACAATTCCCGGCTGGGTTTCGCCACTGGTACACCACAGGCTTGTGCTGTTCGCCTGTGAGTGAGAAATCGCGGTCTGTCGTTTTCTTGGATGTACCGATTTCGAGTTGCGGGCCTGTGCATAGTAGCACTGGACGCCCAAATGAGGATACTTGGGGGACAAAGCACTCAAAAGTCTGTTTACCGCACCGTTGTTGCCGTAGGCTCCGCTGTGTGAAGCGCACGTGAGAACCGTTGGTCCATCATGCTTGGGGTGAGATGGTACGCTGTGTGACGCCCTGTGTGATGCCTCTCCTCGGCCTCTGACTCGCTGTGCACATTCTCCCGAGCCGCGTGTCCTCTAGGTGGTCAAAAAGGTAAATTACCTACGATGCTTCAGCATGAAAAGTGTCCCCACCTGTTGGGGATACTGTTAATGCTGAAGCCTGTCTTGCAAGGAGCTCGGCACTTCCGATTTCTGACCGACCAATTTTTTGTGAGTGTTTTGTTTTGCGGAGGGACTGCGAGCCTACAGCAGTAGAAGAGGGGTTAAAGAGTCATGTTCACAAAATCGTACCATGTGCATCGGCGGCAACAACCTCCGGCTGGAAGTAAGTGAACGAGTCATACTACAGTTGGCGCCCGCAATTAAGAAATATTTTGTTAAGAAATTGAGGCTCACTTTTTCACGAAAAATAAGAAAATAGGGTTAAGAAACATTGCTCAATCTGAGTCACACAATTAAGAAATATCAACAAGAAACACAGCAGCGACCGCTGCCCTACTATAACGAGGGGTTACGGGGGAGTGTGTCGAATAAGAAACAAACCCCACAGCTCTCTCGCTCTTTCCCCCTACCCCCCCCCCTCCCATAGTGCATTATTATTATTAGTTGTACGCCGAGGGGGGAGTTTTTTTTTTTGCGGCGCCCCCTCCGGCCCCCTGGCCCTGCGGGCGGTCGGCGTATATACGCCAAAGCTGGCGAGATTCTTGTACTCGCCAGTTCAACAATTATTGGGTTGTAGTTGGAGGTAGACACGAAACTTCAGGCACAGCGGGTTTCCAGCCCTAAGGCTACACCACGGCGCTAGGCCTCGCTAGGTCCAACCCACCCCTTAAACCCTCACCCTCACCCTCACCCACACCCCAAGCTAGGTTGTTGTGCAGTGGGTAGGCCTAGGTCGCTGTGCCGAGCCACTGGAGGGTGCAAGAATCTCGCCAGCTCTGGCGTATACACGCGCGGCGCCCTGCGGGCTCTGCGCTCTGCTCTGCTGGCGCTCAAGCTCTGATTTTCGTTGTTGGCATGTCAGCGTGCGGGTGAGGCACCATGCGGTGTTCATGCATTTGTTTAGTTTCAGCCCTCACTCATGAGGGGGGTACAAGACCTTGTAGCGATAGCAAGACGTTGCCGTTGAATACATTTCGCTTCTAGGGAGTGGCCTTACGTGCAGCCGTCGGTAGTGAGAATCGGGGTTGAGTACGGGAGGCGAGGAAAGCAGAGAAATAAGAAATTGCCGACGTAAGAAATTCAGCAGGATTTGGCTGCACGAAAAAATAAGAAACATGATATAAGAAACTGAACGACATACGCTGAGTTTATAGCCCACAATAAGAATTCGAGGCTGGACCTGAAATAAGCGTTTCTTAATTGCGGGCGCAAACTGTATGCATGTATGAAATCTGCAGTATCATAAGCATATGGTGCGTCAAATAAATACGCACTCATCCTGGAGTCCATGTTTTCCAATACATAGATCCAGTAATGATCCCGGCCTCATATACGGTGAAGTGGGATCGACGCCGAACGCACGGGTAACCCTGTACCTGTACACTGACCAAGCAATATCAGATTTCCCTCAACGCGCTCGTGTACACAAACAAGCTGATTATGAACATTGTTGTCCGAGGGAAAAACCGAGACAGATCGTTCTTGCACGGGTTCGGGGGTTCGGTGCTACTGAATCTCAAGTTTTGTGCCCCCCCACGAAGGAGGCCGGTGACCACTGGTCACATCACGTGCCAACCGTAGATCACGCCAAACAGCATGCATTGGAGTGTTGGAACTACGAACACGCCGTCAGCACGCTAACCATCGGGGTCGGACGGTCTCTGCGATACTTGAGTCATGACGGTGTGAGTGGCGGTGGCAGATATCACAAGCCCGCGCCGAGGGGGGCACGCGAAATGAAGGCGGAGAGTATCTAATCTCTATTTTATGAGCGAGACGAGACCTATTGCAATCACGCTGACTCTATTTCTGGCTTGTTGGTGGTCGCGAGGTAAGAGATGCGTCAGCTGGTGGGAACGACACGATGCGCTTCGCCGCTACCCCTTGCAATCACCCCAGAAGCTATAATAGTAGTGGAGAGTGTGCAGTAGACGTTTGGCGACCAGTCTGCCGTGTCACGTGTGATACACGGAGTTCGAAACAAGATGAATATTTCCGAGCTTCTTGCGGTATGGATCCTGTGCAGCAGGGAGAGGAACAGGGCGGTGTGCTACGACAGCCACGACATTCGCTGCATACGACGTCGATGAGGAGTCTGCTGCTGCAAAAGCTCATGGGGAAGGCGTGAGGTATGTAGTGGAGGAGACGGCTGCTGACTTATCGTTTAGAGGTTGTTCTCTCTGCATCCACGGCTCTTGTTGTCGAGACTCTCACCGACGTCACGGTTTATCATGGCCCCCAAAACACTTCGTGTTGCAAAACGTTTGCGACTCAACAAGTACTCGCAAGAATAACCCCGACAGACTACCACCAGCGCCATCCGTACAACACGGTGATTGCGAGGGTGGAGCATGGCGTCGTGAGGGAGGTGATGATGTGTGTGCTTTAGCTTCTCGGCGCCCTGGTCCGGCAATCACGAAATCGTGGCGGTTGCCGAGAAAGTTCACGGCGCTGTCGGGAAGATTCAAAAAAAGGCAGGCACGCACACCTTTTTCCGTTTCGGCTCAGGCCTTGGCCACTCTTCCTTGGCATACTGGCGTACGGTCCCGGGTGTCAGCTTCCCGTTATCATTGCCATCTCTAGCCGATGCAGACACATCACATCGTTTGGAAAACCGAGCCCGGAAACAGCGTGTGCGGATAAAAACCGCATCATGAAAAAGCGTGTTTGAGCGGCCAAAACCGCGATGGCATCATATCTGGCTCTCGAAGGAGACAGCAATGAACACACCTTCTTTCAAGCTCTTCTCCAAGCAAGCGTGGCCTCCCTGTCTCTCTTCCTCCTTCTGGTGCACAGATGGGTGTGTTTTGGTGTTTGCGGAGAGGGAAGAATGCAAGACTGAGATGGAGCGGTCTGTGCTTTGTGGAGCTGTGAGGTGGGCTGCAGACCGGTCGTCGACCATGGGGCCCCGTGAATGCAATATCTTGAAAATCGGCTCGTCGGGGGAGGGTGTCCCATATAAAGCTGCGCTGTTCTGTGTTCCTCATCATCAAGATATCAAGATTCCCGCAGCTGCACACATGTTTCGATATGGGTGCAGCTACGCATTGCAAACAGAAACACAGACCGCAGAAGCAATGAGACAGTCGTACACAGATGTATGATGAGCTTGCATCGTTTCACACACGTGGCTCAAAAGCGAAAACTTTGTTAGGGAGGCTGGTCGGTGGCTATAGAAGTACTATGTCTTGGAGTTCTACAGCGAGGACTACGAGTCAGTCCAAGCGCCGCCCTCCACGCCAAATAACTGCTTTACGTGTACACGAGGCAAGTCCCTATCGAAGCGCAGTCGCCTACCTGTTTCCGTCAGGGATAATTTTATCGCCCTCGAGGACGGGATTACCGGTGTATGGATGTACCCATTCTCTTACTACTCTGTAGCTGCTGCTACACATACGTCTACTTCTCAGCAGTTATGCATCCGAAGGGTACCCTGAGAGTCACAGCTACTAACGCGTTCACCCACGCTTGGTTCATTTAGAGCACTGGGAAGAAATCACATTGCATCAACGCCGTCTCCGGCCGGTGCAATTGCTTTGTTTTTAGAAAAATTACATACAAAAAGAGAGAGAGTAATGTGTACATACTATGGAACCCTCGAGAGTTACGGTCCGCTGAGGCAGTCACCAGAGGTTAGCGTATTCTTCCCATGCGATTTGTCGAGGAATGCCAAGTTTGGCCGAGTGAAATCAGTCGAACTAGGTTAAATGAGGTTGGGCGGAGCCTACTCGTGGACCCGCGTCTTTCCCAACCTCGGGAAGTTCCATCAACTGTTCCCAGCCGTTGAGGATCGTTCGAGGAACGGGGATCTGTCCAGGGATCTCTCCGCACCGATCCCAGGATCCGCTCCCTGTAGTGTGTGCGTTTTGTAACCAAGGCCTCCACAGTAAAACCCATTTCTTGTTTAGCAGTCAGATCCCTTTGTCTGCTCCAGATTAGTGTCACCCCAAACCCGTCTCCACACCAATATCCAGATTAACATCGAAACTTGCCTCGACATAGACATACAACAGAGCAATAAACCAAGTCTACACCAGCTGCTCACAAAACGTTCATAACTATCCTTCGGCAGCTCTCGACATGCTTGCATGTGTTACGTTACCTGATCGGAACCTACCCTACAACAACCCCCCCCCCCCCTTTTCCGCATTTTTTTTTTTTGCGGTAACCATGAATGGTGGTCGAGTAGATTATGTTGTGCGGGGTCGACAACCCTCACTCCGCGCAAGGGGGATAATCGCACCACGTTGTGTTAAAATGGTCAAGCACCCTCGAGGCAGTTACACAGTGCTTACAACTGTCTCTGGAAGTGAAAGCACCAGAAAATAAATTAAGTCATACATACCCAGCTGTCATTCGTACGCAAGGAAGTAAGCACAAGATGCCGAACACCCTTAGCAGGATGCAGCTCACCCTTCATGCGACTCGCCGAATACCTCACGGCGCTTCGCGCTTGGTGATGTGAGAGCCTGGTCCGGTGAGAACCCGGCGTGCTCCGTCCCGGCTTTGTAGGGATGCGAGGTCAATGGTCTAACGACTACGGCATGCACGACTATGAGTACACCCCCCCCCCCCCCCCCTTCCCGCATCGCGCTCGAGTGACGGGCATTTTTTTTGTGGAAACACACAAGAAGTAGATACATGCGAGGAGCCAACTTGCTGCCAACCTCAACAAAACTGCAAGGGAAACCACAGCTAGTGTGTCAAGCACGCCGACGATTCCCTGCCACCGCCATCGCACATGCTACACCAGCAGTCCAGCGCTTTCAACCTTGCTATTAAATGCACAACGCGTGTGGAGACCCTACATACACTTAGCACCATTGCCAACCTATGCGTATGACCGCCGACAAACGTGCAGAGAGAGGTATCGAGATAGAAAACGAACACTACGAGAATTTTCTTCATCTTCCCGATGTGCGTAAAATAGCAGCTCTTCCGTGGTCCGACAAGAATCGATGCGCCACTCGCGCCGGGAACTCTCTGCCGGTGAGAAATGTTCCCATTCATATACACCAAAACGCGACGCTGCAGCAGATGACGCTTCACAACGGAAGAGCAAAAGGATGCTTGCCACGACAACCCAGCCCAGCTCCACCGTTTCGAGAAACGACACACTGCTGCCTTCCTGGCTTCACGTGTCTATTTCCATCCCCATTCACACCGAGGGAGGTCCGAGCATAAAAGGACAAATAGTTCCTGCACAGTCGGTACATTGGGGCAAACGCACCGGTAGACAGAGAGAGATGAACAAGAAAAAAAAAATGAGTTAGAGGGTTCTGCGTTTACGAACGAACATTACGGGGACAATGCGGGTAATAACGCGGCGATTAGCTCGTGCCTCGGTTCTCTGTTCACTCCTGCGATGATTGATGCCCTGACCAACTCACCGGCATCAAAGATATCCCACGATCTTCTCGAAGATGAGGTTTGCTCCATCGCCCATCAGCGAAATGGGATCAACTCCATCTCCCATCAGCATGCTCACAACACCAGCCCAGTCTCTCTCCGCCCTCGAAGGCTCTGCACTGCTACGAGTTCTCTTGGCTGCCCCGTCGGCAGGTGCTTGACTGGTCCTGTGTCCAAACTGAACCCTGCCGCCGTGGAAGTGAGCGCGACACAAGATCAGAAAGCCACGCCGACGCCATGCCCTGTCGGCCGGAGCACGTGCCAAGAGCTTTCGGACGCGGTCGACATCCTCCGCCAGGCTGTCCGACTCTTCGGTTTTCAACCCCACCATATCTGCCGCTGTGTGGCCGTTTTCGCTCACGGCCGTCTCGTCCGCGCCCCGTCTCAGCAGCAGGTCCACCATCTCCGCGGTTCCGGGGCTCCCTGCCTTGGCGGCTACCAGGTGCAGCGGTGTCTGTGCTGCCGCGTT